TGGCCAAAACTAAAAAAATTTTAAGATCGATTTTTGTGTCATTATCACTTCAGATTTTATATTGATACCAGAACGCTACTTACTGAAAATACTCATTCTGTATATTTATGATATGTGAAATAGCTTTGCTGGCACATACTCTACATATCAAAACGTATAGTGGATCTTAATTTCAAGTTGCAAACAAACTATTGTATAAAAGAAACAAAAATTGTAACAAGAAGGCGATGACATAATAAACAACGTATTAGTTTCAGTTTTTTCAAAGAAAATCAATTTAAACTATGAAAACGTTGCTTGGCTCTGTTAGCCAAGTGAGAAACCCACTAATAATGTTGCAAAAAAATCAACTAACAAATTTCATGAAATATTCCACGTTTCCGTTTTCAAGCAGATATGTAATATCATCTGCTAACATGTATACTGTTTTTCTAACCAAACCAATTTCATTGTGGCACATATTTAGGCATCTGAAGGCATATGTAAGCATCTTTGGGCATCTGTAGGCATCTGTAGGCATCTGTAAGCAGTGGTGGTTATGAAGGAGGGCGAGGGGGCAGTTGCCCCCCTGGAGTCCAAAAGCCGGCAACATTACCATTCGGCAATATCTTGCACTTGCTATTTTGTCATTTTCATAAAAATTTCTAACTGTAATACTTCAATCATTCGGGGCCTAGGTTCCAGCAGCACTTCAGATTTTAACACAAGATGCCTTGACTCTGTCTGGTGTTCACAAAGCATTCTATGGAAAAGATTCCAAAAACAACGAGAAAGGGGAAAAAGGAAAGTTCGTTGTGAAGCAGTGTACAACTCCAATGATTGTGCTGCAGTATATGAATGAAACCGGACTGTGTAAGGCATTCCTTAATCTGTATCTAAATCTGTAAGGCCTATCAAATATATTTGCTAAAACATCTAGTGCTGGAAGGTCTTTATAAAAACTGAAGACGGACAAGAACTATCGTCGTAACAAGATTGGTCAGCAATAACAAAAGGGGCTATAGCTTCTCTCAATTGAAAATGAGACAAAAAATAAAAATGTTTACAGCTTGCCTCATGGAACTTTGAAGGTTTATAACTCTTTGCAAAAATAGACTCCTTTGCATACATGTCAGAAAAGAGGATGGAATTTAAATAATTCAAATAAAGACTGAAGTAAGGGATATTTCATCAGGTATTTGTCTAAGTATTTGTAAAATTGCTCCTTAATGTTAAGAGGCTTATACTGATTCCTTTGAATGGTTTGGCAAATAAAGATATTATCAGAAAAATTGCTTTCAATCAGGTTACAAACCAGTTTAGAAAATTTAATTTCATGTATTAGAACGGACTCGAAATTTTCAAAGAAAACTCATTTTGAGTTAACTCATAACTTTAAGTTTACATCAAATTTGAGCAATGTTTAGCTGAGGAGAAGGGCGTTTAGAGGAAGGTTTAGCTTTTGCTGGACCATGAAAGTCATCATATCACATGTTAGGAATAGTTCAAAACTATTTGGAGCCACACCATTTACCATGGGCCACACCATTTACCATGTTACAGTGCGCAAATTTCACAGTGTTGCCCCTCCTGAAATGTTATAAAAAAACAGCTGTAGGCATCTGTAGGTATCTGTACTGCTCTCTGTTTTGTCGCCCAGTTATCCTCTGAGTTTTATGCTCTATTTCTTTCCAGTTTCCTCCATTTCACTTTGTCAAACGAAGACCTTTGCTTCAAATTTCTGTCAATATTGCCCCACTTTTCTCCTCGCTTCCTCTGATTATCCGTTCTTTATATGTAGCCTAGTCACTTCAACTTCTTCATTCTTATGATTCCTTCTATACATTCCTAATTTGACTTTGCAAGAACCTCTGCAAGAAGAAATTGTAATCTCATTCTGTCATTTGATATCAAGGTCATTTTTAAGTAAACGTGCATGAATGCATTGAAATCCCCTCAATTGACGTGCGTATAAAAAACACATTATAAACGGCCATTTTCGTACAAAGTTTAAGCTTTCTTTTATCCCAAACCCTCTTTTGCAGCTTACTATATGTCGCAGCTGCTTTACTGATTCTCTCTGATATTTCTTTGCTCAGATCTAGTCCTCATTTCAAGCGCTCTTCCTTTAGCGTGATGTTTGGTTGAATTTCTGGTTCACGGTACATGGTGAATGTTTTGGATGTACTGATTCTTAAACCAAAAGTAAGAAGTGCCTTTGAGAGACTGTTTAACAAATGTTCAAAAACCTCTTTATTGGAGCTACCAATGCAGCATCTGTGAAATATTTGACTTTAGTTTTTGCTTGAAATCTTCCAACGTTAGTCAAGCTTCTTTCGAATCTACTTTGCGAATAAACTCAGACTCAGAGGTGGGCAATGGCTATTGGCGCGCATATCAATTGAAAAAGAGAAAAAATTCCAGTGTAGCACCTGCGAGGAGTTCATACCTTTAACTGATCGGTGTTCGTTAGTATTCAACATTATCAACTGAGCAGCTTAGTATCGTAGTGATCTATCGGCCGATGCGTTCTCGCGAGTTATTGCTACGGAATTACTACGATGCTACCGTGACTTTATTTCTAAAAAGAAATATTGCTATGATAAAAGGTGAACGTTCTTTCATTTGACCTGCTTTTAACTGTAACCAGACTGTAAGCTGTTGCGATAAAGCTTACAAAAATTCATTTCTTTGCCAACAACTTCATATTGCCACGATATTGTGTAGTAACTACGCGATAAGCATGATTGCAAGCCTTCCTGTCTGCATTGCGCCAATAATTATTCTGGGTTTGATTGCAATTTTGCTGAATACTATCATGGCTGTTGCTGCATTCCTGAGAAAGTCTTCCAACCGCTCGATTAACATCGTCTTCGCATATATCGGACTGTCAAACCTTGCAATGTCCATTGCATTGATTGTACGGGGTGCAACTGTAAATATTCACTATCAACGGCATCTTCTCGAGCCATTAGTCCTTTCCATTGTAAGCTCTTTTTCGATAATGCAACTAACAGCAAACTTGGAAATGTCTTGGAACAGATATATTGCTGTGGTTCACCCACTAGAATTCAGGACCATAAATAGATCAAAAACGGTGAGAAGAATCATCATTGGCTGCTCGAGTTCTTTCGTTATCGGCATTTCCACAAGCCTTCCTAGCGCACTGCTCGGATATCCAAGACTAACTTCACTGGTTGTTGCCGCAGCGCGTACGCTGGCCCTGATTTTTCTTAGTATCCTCTATTATAAAATCATAAAGAAGTCTAGGCTGAATTCACAGACTATCGAGGCAAATCGTGAAACAGTCAGACATAACGTCCCATCGATCCATGAGAGAAGAATTCACGCTGACAAAAAGCTTTTAAAGATCTGTCTTGCAATTCCAACTACCTACTTTGTACTGAACCTACCGGCAATTATTTATATGAGTATATACGAGGTTGGAGCCCCTTGTGAGACCGTCAGGGGCAAGTTGATTGTATTTTTAATGTCTCTTACATTTGGTAATCTCATCATTGATCCAATATTGTACTTCTGTACTACGAAAAAGACACGAATAGATCCTTAAGAAGTTGATTTCATTAGTGTGCTCAACGAGGAATTGTGAAAACTAGCATAGCTTTAAAGGGTTGTATTCCTGTATTCCTGTAAATGCTAAAATGAAACTGCTTTGAAAACGCATCATTTCGGCCATAGCAATTATGCATGGAAGTTAGGGGAACTACTTGCTCTGCTCACGCCAGAACTGACTTATTGCATATTGGATTTTTTCAAAACAGAAAGAGATGTTCGTGTGTTATGATTATAATGTTACATTTGCTTTTGCCTTCTCCAGAAAGGAATAACCGATGAAAAGAATCATTTTCATAATTCTTCGACTCTTGTTTAACGTAAACCTACTTTGAGAATAAAGTTTTTTCAACTTATGAGCAAAATTATACTATCCGTTTAAAATTAATCCAGCCCAATATAAGTCGCTTTTTCGTCGTGGCAATCTATCTAATCCAACCTTTTTCAACCCTGGTCTAGAAAACACAGAAGACAAGAGCCCGAGTTTGAAACAAGCAAATTACTGTGCAGCTGTTTGCTAGTAGCAACAAGCTACAAGCTTTCCCTTTAGGTTCTAATTCTAAAAATTTAATGCTGTTTTATTTCATTAAGACACTATGATCTACGTCAAATGTCCATTCTTACTAAGAATTCTTACTGAGGAGGCTGCCGGAGCGCATTCTATAAACAAATTATAGAAATTTCTGTAAATATTGTATGTGTGTTTTTAGCTATAATTTTAATCTCATCAAATCATTGGCTCAAAAAACCAGTGACCGAAAACACAATTTTTCGTTTGTTTTGTGTAATATCAGAGGTTTAACGGTATAGGAATCAGCATTTGGTAACATAAGTATCTTCATGAGCGTAAACATGTAAAAACCAGAATTTTTCGACATAGATTAAGCAATAGGTGCGTTGTCAACTATTCAATGTGACTTTTTGGTAGTCTTAATGTGTGTAGCATTTGACATCTAACAGGTTTTTGTCGAATTCGAAGTAAAAGCTAGCTAGAACACTGTTATCTCTTTTAGCAAAGCTCAGTAAAACAAATGATTGTAAACTTTGCCGACAGGGATAATGGAACGTACCAAAGAAACAAATTCAACAAAGAAAAGACGTAAAGAAGTCTGAACTGAACTGACACGGGGTCGACTGCATTGCAGCCAGCAAGCATGGGAATGGAAGAAATAACGAAACCTTATCAGCAATGGAGATTAGAACAGTTGTTCAGTGTTTAAAGTATGCAATGGCTTTCGCCTCCAAGAATGTCTCTCGCAAAATAATTCTGTTAAAGCAATGAGACTAATATAACATGCAAGAAAGACAATATGACAGCATGTTTTTCGGATGACTGAAACATTTAGCTTTAAAAGTAAACAAAAGTGAGGCAATCGAATGGAACAAGATGAGTTCAGGCTATGAATTGTATCCTTTGGAAGTCTTAAAATGAAAAATGTTCCCTAGATAACTGAGTCTGTATTTTACATTGATGAACTTTGCTTGCTGTGAGAACCGTTGTTAATACTGTTTTGCTAATTTTTCCAATGTCTGATTTGGTTGGACTTCTAAGTCTACAGGCTACCTTGATGGGAAGTTTTCTTTGTGAACCTTGATGGTAACGTAGGCTTCTTTCTCTTTTAAACATTCTACTGTTCGTTCGATCGAAAAATCTACTGAATTGTGTTTAATGTGTTTAAATACATGCATATTTATTTGTTAAAGCAGGTTAAACTAATGTCAGGTTGCAGCTGATGGGGGCCTGCTATCTACGAATACAACTCATGTAATACCATTCACGAATTAAATAAAACGTTAATAAAATATAAAAAACACTCTTTCGTTCAATGTATTACAATGTATTCAATATACACTCTTGGACCTTCTTATTTTACATTATATCAACAGTATCGGTATGGTTCTAACAAAATGTTTCTAGGGTAACAAAAATAAATACATCAAAATGACAAATAAAAGCTTTCAAGAGAGGAACATTCTTAAATTTTAGTATATTCTACAGTCACTCGTTGCTTTCTTTATTTAAAGTTGGTACAAAATCAAGCTTATTAACTATACATCAAGCTAATTAAAACAAACAAATTAAAATCACCATTGAATTATATAAATCATAAACAGCCAATGTTGCATTATGTATTCCTTGCAAAGATCGCAAATACAATTGAACAATGAAAATTGTATTTCTAAAGTTTGGAAGTCTTGAATATTTCTAAAGTTTGGAAGTATCTTATTTTGCCGGGGATTGAGTAATAAGTTTTGGCTACATCTATATGACACAGTATTAAGTTCATATATTTTGTAATGTGACTTGTTGCTTTGATATCTGTGAAATGCTGAAATTGCTCTGTGTATAAGCAGACCCCTCTCCTTGATTTGATTTGCCATCCCACTGATACACATACATATTCCACTGATAATTTGTGTTCCACATATTAATGTGATAATAATTTTTTGCTATTTAATTTGCTGCATTTTTAATTTAGTATTCTGTTGAAATGTATGTTGTGGAATTTAAAATAAAATGAGCTTGAACTGAAAATGAACCTTCATTCATGGAAAATATCTAATGCATAAGTTTTTGGCAGATTATTGCTAATTGGGTTTACAGATTGTATTTGTTGTCAAATTATAAACGTTCATTCTTATGTCCTGTATAAGCTATATTAATTTCCATCTGAAGTGAACTAAACCTGAAAGCAATTGTATAAAGATTTTGTGCATTTTATAATGGCCTTAGTTGTTTGGGGGAACTACTGATAGAAAAGCTTTGATTGTATGAACAAAACAAGTCAATAAAGAACAAAGCAAAACAAATGGAAAAGGTTATATGATATTAATTTAAAATTGAATTCCAGGTCACTTGGGTGGACCAACCAATCTAGTCACATTTACATGTATTTGCATCCTCCTAGATGCAGATCTAGCCAGTCATTCTTCCTTATCTCCCCTAGATCAACTGGCGCACTCTCCATGTAAACTCAATTGTATAAATCAAAGGTATCTATATAGCACACAGACTTTGCTAGGCCTGCTAGCCTTCCTTATGTAAACAAACACTTAAGGTCAATTGAGCTGCCTGTCTGCACATTAGAAATCCAAACTTTTCAGAACCTTGTCAACATAGTAACTCCTTTGTTGAAATGGTGAAGTCTTAGATTCAGAGATGAGCTCCCTAGTTCAGAAATCTTCTGTCTCAGTCTCAAACAACTTTTGCAAATGATGTGAAGTCTTTATCAATCCAAGATTTATCAGAAATTGACAAATTCTATTAACTGCTACCTTTTATAACTCTTTGATTGTATCATACCATGTCACCTGCCTCGAGTTCGTAGTCAATTACATCTTCTGCAGATAAATCAATGGGGGGCTCATTCAAAGATGGCAAGAAGATGTGCTTCCACTGTGGCTTTCGCTCAAATAAAAGATGTTTCATTCTGTGCCTACTTAGCTTCCTTTTGAAAATTTTGAAGCAGAGGTACTTAGCAAAACTAAAAAGGGATGACGATGTCTTAAGCTCTGTCAGAAAATCAATTTGTGATACATCCATTCTGAGGAGGATCGTGTGAAATAACAATGACTTTGCTGTGAAAACAAGTGCAAGCAGCAGAACAAGGAATAGCCAAGGACAATCACCTAATGCTACACAATCGCTTGTTTGCTCTTCTATGTGAAGAATGCATGCTCGGAACGGCCCATATAGCTGCCAAAGACCATAAATTTCACCAAACAAAGAATACCACAACAGCAAATAAAAGTAGGAAAAGTTGTTGAGTCCAACACAGTTATTTGCCAAATAGCTGTGGTGTGAAAACAGACGCACGCAGTAGGCACATTGATTGCAATGAAAGGTACCCTGGCACTGTAGCCGTCTACATTTTCCACAGATTGGGCGATTCTTTGCTGAATATCCTTCTTCGTCCAATTCTGATAGGGTGTATCCTTTCCCAGGAGATGTAAATACAAGTGTCAAATAATTGAATACTATGTTTATCCAAAGGTAGAAGAAGGCACAGCAATGTAAAGCTCCTACGAAAGACAAAATCTTGAACCATGTTGGAAAAATCCACACAAAATAAACAATGAATGATGCTGTGATAAATGAAAGAACAAAACCAACTGTAATCAAAGCGTGAGCACGTTTATAACTTGCAGTTTCTTTATTTTTCGGTGTTGTTTTCACGCTTTTAACGAGGAGTATATAGTTAATTATGGCAGCAGTTACGAGGACAACGATAATGTAAATCGCCATCTTGGTTTAGGTTTCTAATCGTTACTGAAAGTATTTGCATACGAGTCTTACAAGATACGAAAACGAGTCTTCAAAAAACTTTCCCGTGGTAACAAATTCTACCTGCATCTCGGTTGTAGCATAGTTGAGCTACACCCCTGGCAAAAAATTCCGAGACACTCGCAGAAAATTGAGCTAGTTTCAAATCATCCAGCCCCCGTCCCCCCAATTCAATGTTGTGATGAGAGTAATTCTGCTCACGTTAATTTACTTACTCGGGAATGAAATACCAATGCAACATGAAGGGCATAAAGCTCCCTCAGAAAAACTGCCATTGACATCAGAAAGGTCAGTCATGAGGCTACGTTCCCACATCACCGAGAGCGAGTTGGGCCGTTGGTGCATCGGCGCCAATCGCTCAACCTACCATATAGGGGTTACTAAGGGAAGTTACACAATAACCCCCAAAAATGATTGATAATTGGGAGGGAATGGACAGGAAAAGCCTCTTTTCCCCACTAATAGCCGATGCACCAGTCCTTACCTAATAGCATCAGAAAACTCAAAGAAGCATAAAAGATGCCTAAAGGTATGAGAGGTTTCAACGATGCCATAAATGAAACTCAACACGCAAAGTTATACTGAAAAGGCATTTAACATAAAGAAACAAATTGAGGGAGGGAGGGCTGGGAAAATACAATTAAACAGCCTAGTTGAATTGTGGCTTCACCAAGCAAGATGAGACACACGCTATGCCAAAACCTTAAATACTCCTCGATTAACCAAGGGAATGAAAACGCCACGAAACACACATCTTACCCTAGTTATACAAATCAAATTCACAGGAGGCCGAAAGACTCCCCGCATTGCCCATAAACTAGTAGAGCAGATACAAGAAAACCACGAGGAAGCGTGGCACAAGAAAACATAACGAAATAGTATTAACAACAATCTCATGCGATTTAGTTAACGCTCAAAAGCCCCTCGTGAAATTAACTCTGATTAAATTTCATTTAATCATCATTTCATGCCCAGTTATGCCGCAATCAAAAAACCCAACATTGACATCGGGGGGAAGGGGGTGTGGGCTACCAGAGCATGTTATATAATAAAAAGACATTTGACTTCACTTTTTGAAAAAAGTCTCAGCTATTGTTTGCCAAGATTGTCTTAATATGATTGTTACAATGTATCAAGTTGAGTTGGTGTATTTTCGAATTTTTAAAAAAGGGGTACCAATTAATGCAATGATTAACTGTTGCTATGAATACGAGGCTATCAATGTCCATCCAAATCTCACGTGACTGTAGTTGTGACGTATGGTTAGAGGAGAAATAAGTTAAGAATGTACAGTATCGTTAGCTTCTCAAATCGTTATAATGGGGCGTGTGCGACCGGTATCAACAGAAATTCGTGCATATATAAAGTTTCGAAAAGGCTCAAAGGTGGATGATTTGATAAAGGAAACTGGAGTATCGTGCTCCCATATATACAAAATTTGGGCGAGTTCTTTGAATTCAGAAACAAAAAAGGAGCCTGTACAGAAACAAATAAGAAAACGTGGACGGCCAGAAAAACTATCAAGAAAAGATAAACGACGAATTCTCAGACTGGTAGGCACATTACGAAGGCAAAATGCAAACTGGACCGTAAAAAGACTAATGGCCAGGGCCGACCTACTGGATGGAAGAGTGGCGAGAAGAACAGTTTCACATTTTCTTAATAAAAATGGATATTTCTATCTCCAGGCCCGTAAAAAGGGGCTTTTGAGCGAAGCTGATAAACAAAAGCGAGTCCGTTTTGCCAGAAATATGCTTCAATTCTACCCAAAAGATGTGTGGACACAAAAAATTGCTTCCTATTTGGACGGGGTTGGCTTCGTTTACAAAAGAAACCCACGAGATCAGGCCATGGCACCAGCTGGTCGAGTATGGCGAATGAAAAAAGAGGGACTTCTCCAGGGCTGCACTGCGAAAGAACAGGCATGCGGAACAGGAGGGAAATACGTGAAGATGATAGTTGCCATCTCTTACGACAAAGGGGTCATAATATGCCAAAGATACGAAAAAATGACCGGAAACTTCTTTGCAGGTCTCTGGACGAGCACTTCGAGAACATGGTCAAAGAGGCTGGGAAGGGATCTCGCATGTGGGTTCAAGATGGAGATCCTTTTCGAAACAGCACGACATCAAGGGAGGCCATGACAAGAGTCAATCCAGTTCTCCTGCCAATTCCACCGCGTAGTCCAGATATGAACCCAATAGAGAACTTTTTTGGAATTGTCAAAGCTCGTTTAAAGATAGACGCAATAGAAAGAAACATCGAAGTTGAAACAATGGACGAATTTGAGAATAGAATACGATGTATAATGAAAGATATACCCCTAAAAACTACAAACTCTATAATAGAGTCGATGAACAAAAGAATGAAACTAATTATTGCAAATAGAGGGGAACGACTCAAGTATTGATTTGTAAACGTGTATATGTAGATTTTGTATTTTTCGATCTGTAACAGTTTATTGTATATGAGATTATAATTCTGTCTGAAATTAAACTGCCTCTGTTCAAAACAAAACTTCTAAAATGGCTGCTTTGCACAAGTTATCAAGTTTTACCCAAAATAGGGTGGAAGTTGCGTGTCAAACCAACAAATAAAAAAGAAACTACCAACGTTGACACTCGCAGAAAATTGAGCTAGTTTCAAATCATCCAGCCCCCGTCCCCCCAATTAAATGTTGTGATGAGAGTAATTCTGCTCGCGTTCATGCCCAGTTATACCGCAATCATAAAACCAAACATTGACATCGGGGGGAAGGGGGTGTGGGCTACCAGAGCAAGTTATATAATAAAAAGACATTTGACTTCACTTTTTGAAAAAAGTCTCAGCTATTTTTTGCCAAGATTGTCTTTATAGCTTTATGGCCCTGGACTGAGTGATATGTCTGCTTTCAAAGAAGTTTTTATCCGGTAAAATGTTACAAAATGTCATCCATGTTTTATAATCGATCGGTGGCAGCTCCATGCAAACATTTTTCCCCATTGAAAGTAAACATGTTGTATTTCTCTTTATTCAACAATATTTGTGTCTCAAGAACCAGCTTGTAAAAAATTACCAGGTTTTATTGGCCTATTTAAACTGAGTCCAAGTCACCTGACTTTGCTGTTCTCCGCTTATTTGACATCAGTTGATTTGCGTAAGGCTTGTAGCGTAAAGGTTTCGCATTTAAAAAAAAATGATAACGGATAAAAAGCGCAGAAGTTTTGCAGCATTTTGGTGTTCTGGTTTTTTTTGGAAGGGTTTCTCAAAAAATTATTATCACCAAGTTAAAAAGTCCTTTTCGCCAGCCTAATTTTGTTTTTGTCTGAAAGCGCAATCGAACTTCGAACTGTCCGGGTACTTTCATGAGGGGAGTGTATACAACATTAGGACGCCAACCCTAAAAGCAAATGTGGTTAACCCTTTGCTCAAAGAACAACATAGATAATCGTCGGAACATAACGAGATTGCTGGTTGAGATTTTTAATTGCAATTTGATCCAATTGTAAAAATAAACATATATCTAATAACTTGTAAAAAATAGACTTTTTAGACAAGTACAATTTGCTTTATCTTATATTGTCGGATGACCTCCAGGAATCTGGCAGCCGCCATTTGCACTGGAACTCAATGAATTAATTTTGCAACGAAATATCTTCGGATACAGTATGAAATCTCAATAAAATTCTAAAAGAGATAATTTTTGGTCTTAGAAGATTTCATTTCTTGGATTTTTGTAATGAAAACTAGTTGTTTTCAATTACATCAAGGCTTTGACTTTGACGGGGTTATTGAAAGACCACGATGTTAATATTTTTGAAAATTTTTGTCACAATTTCAGCATAACTAGGTTTATTATCTTGCTTAAAAATAAATTGTCTTTGCAAAGAATCATTACTTGTTTCTGTACTTGCCTGGGGACTTTCCGCAAATAATTCGACAAAATATTCAGCATTGATTGACTTCGCACACAACGCCAGCTTGCAGATGCTATTAGGCCCAGCCAATTGTCGGCCTGCCCTGGCCTACCATTCTTTTAATTTTAGTAGGCATTGTTAGCTTATTGGTCTTGTAAATAACATGTGTTGTAGACTTGCTGCAACCAAACTTTCTTGTAGTTTCAGCAAACAAATGACTCGCTAGACCCAAATATTTTATTGCTTCTCGTTCTCTTTCTGGTCGCTTTTGTGTTTTCGGCATTGAAACTAAAACATTGATATTTTCCATTCCTTCCTGACATTTTGTTACTTTTCTATCATAGAAAGATTGGAAATAAATTGAATTTGTTAGGAATCGCATTTTTGCTGACACCATTTTTTAGACTCCCGCCATAACAGCAAGATTTGTTCAATCAATGTTAGAATGCTAGTTTTGGAGTCGCCATTTTGTTATTCGTCGTCCTAATATTTTTGTGAGATAAGTGTAGAAGCGAGGAAATAACTTTCAAATGCTCTTTTACTTAAGCCTGCCCCCTTGCCCCTTGGTCGTTCCGGCGTTCCTCGGGTTGCCACAAATTTTGTGCTGTAAATCTGATCACAAACATTTAAAGGGTTGCTAGATATAACGAAGCTTCCTCGATGACATCTCATGGAACCAAAGTATCTTAAATTTTCAATAGCCGATTTCATGTTCAAAACAAGTTTTGGTCTTGTTTGCTTCTGCTTACAAACGACCAGGGTGGGATTCTTCAAAAGTCTACGGAGTGGATAAATGTCCCAGCCTTGTCCTCTACCGGACCGCACTGTCCCCGTCATGAAAAGTTTAGCCGAGTCAGGATTATTGCTAAAATCACGATAAACTTGAAAATAACACGGAAAAAGAGTCGCATTTGGTATTTATGACTGATTTGTTTTCTTTCACATCTGGGGATGAACTTCGCCATCTTTGTGTTACCATCGAACTTATCAACTTCCGATGAGCAATAGAAAATTAAAACAATCCTTAACTTCCCCTTTATCAACCTGTCTTTTCCTGGACTTTCTGGACACTTCCCCTTTTCTCTTAATTTGAACTTGACAAGAAAAACGATACTTCATTTCCATTTCCAGTGTCCAAACAATGTCCTTTTCGCAACAGTAACACAGTAGAAAACGTTTCCTAAGTTGAAACATGAACATTTTCTCATTTATGTTATGAAATTCAACTGACAATGTTCTGAATTCGACTACGGAAATAAAATGTAAAGAATCATATACGAAAATGACTAAATCGAAACAACATACAGAGCCGAACCATCACAAGTGACCGTTGCTTCATACCCAGCCATAGTTCGATATTATGACTTGTTTCTTTCATTTCCTAGGACGACCCAAATTCGGTCATCCATTCCTTATACTTCTTCAAATCAGCTTCGGAAACAGTTTTTGATACTTTCCTCAACGCTTCTTTAAAATCTTCCATCGCTATTGGAATATCAAGTTCTTCCTTCGGAATGTTTCTGATTTGTTCCGGAGTGAGGCCCATGATTCTGCGACGCATTACCATTAGGGAGGCGTCTCTGTCAGAAAAAAGGAGATTGTATAACATTTTTTTTATAAATTTAATAACTGAATTCGATGAAGTGAATTGCAAATGCTTGGAAATGTCCGAAGTTTCGTTGGAAAACTAAAAACTAAAAAATTGGAGCAGGAACTGTTACAAATCAATGAATAACATGCGTTACTGTTACAAATCAAGGTTTTGATCAACCACAACAGATGACGTGTGTAACAAGAAATGCTGAGTCAGGAAAGCATCACGGACCCACGACCTTTGGCTGGAGAAAGGTCGTGGAAATCAAAAGAAATTGAGAAAGGTGACCAAAAATTTGGAAAATTGAAGAAGTCGAAGAAATCGCATAGCCTTTTGGTCTTCAAAATACAGTGTTTGCAGAACTTCTATGCACTGTAAAATTTAGGCATTCACTTTTTAAGTTTTGTATACTTAAATTATGACACAGTTTTGTTATTAATTGACATAAGCATGTAACTTTACATCTGTCTAAAAATATGTATAATTGAAAACAAGCTATAAATTTTTAGAAATGTTTTCGAAAAACGGAGTTGCAAGGAGAGGGGAACAAGAGTAGTTGTGTACCCCCCTCCCCATTTCCTGTTGTAAACCCAATAAAAATGAGGAAGGTTTAATAGTAAGATTTTGGTGGCCAGAGGAAGGTTGACAACTTTTCTGGACTCTGAAGAAATGCCTTTTTGCTCGTGGTACGTTAATTATTAAGAGAATTAACACGCTCAAATAATCAATTCATTGATTTATTACTTCATTCATTCCTTTCTTTACATAGGGCAGAAACATTTGATCCTAGCGTGAAAAGTAAAAAACAATCATGTTTAAGTGAACTGAGTGTAGGAAATCAAGCATGAGCAAAACAATCATTAATAATTTACTAGAGTGCTCTTTTTTCTATTAGTTTATAAACTGTTGACAGAGTTTCCTCCTTTAAATAAGTCCCTGTATAAAATACTAGCTTATTTTCCTACTCTGTATTTTTTCTGTAAATGTTTAAATTATTAAACGTCCTTTTACATTATTCATACTTTTTAAGCGTGGATTAATGTGAACTTGCAACAAATGTGGAATTTAAAATAAAAACTATCCTGAAGTGAATAAGATATGAATATTACCTTATGTTTCAATGACGAAAGAAAATACTATGTTTGTAAGTTTGGAAAACTCAAATTCGTATGGTCAACCGCTTATGTAGCAAAAATGTTAGAATGAGTGAAAGCTTTAGGCTGGTGGGTGGTCAAATATGTGTACAACGACGATAGAAGTCACTCAAAGTAAAGCAATAGATATGAAAAGGCAATGCCCACGAGCAACAGGAACTAGTTACTTGCTGAAGTTGGTTGACAAAATACATTAAAGTTCATACAATTTGGTCAATGAAATTTTGAAAAATATTTCCTATCTGCGTTGGGAATTGTTTTGAAATTTCCTGGCGTCAACCGAACATACCCACTCGCATATGATTCCATCAAACATAGAGAGATAGTAAGAAAGTGAAAGGGGGGGGGGTGGAGGATAAAAGACAAAGAAAAACATTTAAACGGTGCAACCTCAGAAAGAAAGTGTATCGTGAATATGTACTGAGCAACATCCATCGCTACATGTATCGTGTATTTTCAGAGCAGGTTGTTGATGACATGGCACTTACTTACAAAGTTAGTTTAGCTATAGTTGTGATAAATATAAAAAAATTTGCAAAAAAGGAATCACAAAAATTGTTAGAAATATCACCGATTTTTTTCCTCGTCATTAATTTTCTCATATAAAAAATCTCAAAACTGTACTGTTTGGGTTGCAAACTCTAAATGATTGTTAGTGTAGAAGTATGCTAGATCAAAACATACTAAGTGGGTGCTATTTGTACACATGGATTGCATGGGTTTTGATAATGGTGTTGTTTATGTGGATGATTTGTATCAAATGGCCAAATTCTTGTTTTTGCGTGTGAAGTTTGAGAAGGAACGTTCCTTAAAAAGGACACACCACGCTTAACACTGTTAAAGTTTGCGTCTTCTAATACATATCCATCTGTACAACAGCTCAAAATTTAGTGTTTTGCTTAATTGCAACTGCCGTGGGAGAATTTCTTCTTGTTACGGTATTTATCTGTGGAGATGAGTTGTGTGAATTTTGCGGCTGTCAATGGCTCTCTTGTAAAATGATATACATAATTAAAGGATGGGTTGGCGTTTCAAAATGTCGTGTGAAGAAATATATCCTTTAGTTCACGTATTTGATCACGAAAATGTAACGATAATTCATTATTAAGGAACTTGCAGCTATATGTCAAATAAATTTTGATCAACGAAACAATACAAAATAGTCTTTCCTCTGTCGATTTTGACGAAAGAAAGGCACCGTACGTCGATATTCAACGTTGTAGCTTAAGAGTGGCAGGAAAGTTAGGATTCATGTAGAGCCATAATCCTCTCCTTGAGGGTTTTACGGATTTCACGATGGAACGGCAGCCTCCATAATCATGATAATAATCTTTCTACTTCTGCCCCCGCGCCTAAATATTTTACAAACAACCTTGCTACCAGCCAAATCTGGCATACAAATTTCCCATCAAGAGTATAAGCTTTTCTGCTGGGTCAAAATTTAGAACTGAAATTTTACACTCTGATTCTGTCACTATTTGTCAGCTTATTTTGGTATGTCAAGATTATATTCACGATTATAGAAGTTCCGCTTTAAATAGACTTAAAAGAAAAATAAGAAGGGCAGCAATTAGCGTACATATGACAAAAAACAAAAAAAATTATCAACATTTTGAGATTTTTTGACAAAATTGTAAAAAACTTTAAAGTGCCGTATTTCAGCCTCCAGACAACCAAATTAGTTGAAATTTTGTATCTGGGAAAAACTCACACACAGGCTGTATTGTAGCGGCAAAATAAATGATCGATTTGCACAAAAACATGTTTGGATGTCTTTCTGGTTATTAATGGAATGATCCCCTTTACAGCCTATTTTGAGTAGGCCAGGCTAACTTTTAAACATGAAATGAGGCAACACAAGCAACATTTGTGCATATGCTAATTCATCCCACGTAGTCAGTCGCGGCTTGACTAAAGCGAGATGGACTTTATTGTCTTAAGGAAAAAATTGGTGATTACCTGCAAACATTTGTAATATCTGCTCCACTGTAACCTTCCGTGTCGCTTGCTATCTGCTTCATGTCAATGTCATCAGAAGTTTTGATCTGGCGCAAATTGATCTTGAGAAGTTCTTCTCTACCGTCAACTACGAAAAACCGAGATGGCTGACAAATGTGAAAGCTTCAAAAACTAATTTTGTCTTAAAAGTAGCAAAAAGATGAAAATGAATGTTGATCGGTCTTAAGCAACGCCAGCCCTTTGCCAATTCCCCAAGTGTACGGGTGACGTAATGCTTTTTATCAAGGATAGTTCCAAACCTTGTTACAGGGGAATAAAAAGGGGGAAAGTTATGCAAGTTGCCTCTCCGTCTAAATCTCAAGTAGTCAATACTGAAACTAGAGCAAAAACGCAAATCATAGGTATATCAGCCTTGCAAGTAAATCATTTATAAATATATTGAAAACAGCTGAGGGCCCATGTGGGATCCTTGTGCAATCGGTTTATAAATGGGTACTTTAAGTTTATAGCAGAAAAAGGGCACACTGAAGCATACGCCCAAACATTATCGAGCGTTTATACTCTGAAGAGTGTCGGACGAAAAGTGCTTCAGTATGCTATGTCTCCGCTATTTCGTAACACCTTCAAAAATCACATGATTGGGACTGGAAAGTGGAAGATCCCTTACCCGTAGGAAGAGGGATATATATCCTTTTTTCCAACCTCCTTCGCAGAGCCTCGTCAATATCCCATGGGAAATTCGTAGCAGCCAGCACCATTACGACTTTCAACGCATCGTCTTCCGTTGTGTTCCCGGAAACACCTGAGCAAGGAATGTTATCATCAAACGGGGAGACGAATAATAATTTGGTAGCAAATGAAACAAATAAGGACGAGCGGCAAACTCACGAAAAAGCGCTCCAAAATTGCATTAGCTTTCAAAGGAAAAAAACATGAACATGACTGCTTGTATTTGAGTGGAAAAACACCAATTCGACTAATGGCTTCGATTTATAAATTACTCTAGACTTTATTTTTCGCCCTTTGCGAACTTGATGACGGTTTGATGTAATTCCTTCAATCCAAACACGATTATTTATATTGTTTGTGCCTGTACTTGAGATTTTTATGTGATATAGGCTTGAAAATTTATAAGGGATTCGTCTACAAAAATAGTTCCGCGCAAATCTTTTCGCGCTCAGCCACTTATCACGGTTCAACCCCTTAAAAATGTTTAACTCTATGTTATCAAGAAATCAATATCGCGAGTGCATATACCATTAAAATTGCATTTGGACTAGAAAACCAGTCCTTATATCTTATATTCCTTATACCTTATATTAGTCCTTATATTTTAAAACGAGATTGTAAATTCAATTGTATTTTTAATAGCCTCGGAAAACAAATGATACACATCCTTAGCTTATGAGATATCGCTTTAAAGCAGGAGAACACGTCTTCACGATTATTGGAAGACATCGATAGGAAGGCATCGTACCATCCATTTGAACTAGCAGCTCTGACTTCACTCTTCTGCTTGCCTCGTGTTCACTGTCACTACCACGTTTACTGCAGATTGAGTCTATTTCGTCGATGAAAATTGTGCTTGGCGCATAAAACCGAGCCTAACAAAATGAAACGACAAATATCTATTACCATGGGTGACATACAACAGATTAAGGTTTGTGAGAATCAGTATGGGTATACTATCGGCTTTCATGTAGAATATCAGATGAAAGTCTTTGAAATGAAAAAATTCACTCAAGAAAAGATCCCAAAAACAAGGAAATTCCAACACTTAATTTCCGACGCGTTATTCTTGATAACTTTTAAACGGCGTTTAAAGTTTTGTTGAATGGTTGAAGTAGGATGAACACGTTTATAGATACAGCAACACAAAATACAAAATAAAACTTTCATGCTGAAGATATCACATAATTTGGACACAGAAGACATGACTATCGGTAGTTATTCGGGTCAGTGTGACCAGATCTAGCATTATATTATGCTTTTAGCATATTTTTGACCAAAAATCGTCATTTAGCATAAAATCTTGCATAATCGGAAATCTAGCATAATTCTGGCATAATTTTTACATTATTAAAATAATGTTATAATTCTGTTAATAAGTTTCGGGCCAACTGGGAAAAGTGTGGATGTCAAGTATCTTCATAAAAACTTTTAACACCCAATTAACGTGAGTTCATTTTAAGTGCACCAATTTTGAACCAACAAAGTCCATGAAAAATACAATGAGCAAGAACATTTACACCAGAGTGCAGGATATCTTAGTTAATTTTCCTAAAGACGATCTTGATTCCAACAGCGAAGATGAATGTTAAGAATTCTCAGCAATTGACATTGTATGAACTAATCAAGTTTTTGTTAATTTAAATTGATTATGCTGGTTTGTAAACTGTTCAACTTAAATCCTCTATTTGTTGAACGTTATTCTGGGTTTTTTGCTATTCTGCACATGCGCTGGCCTCGCTTTCAAACGAGAGAGCCTCGATTTCAAATCTAGCATAAATTTTGTAAATCTGGCATAGTTTTATGACAATCTCAGCATAATTGCGAAATTGAGATCTGGTCACACTGATTCGGGCGCTATTTCTTCCCACTTGCGAAATTTTTCCGTTGATTGCAGCTGTCAACAGCGACATTCCATCATTCGGTTGAACTTATCTCTCATTTGAAACATTGCATAATTCAATAAAGCTCTGGTTTTTTATGTTTTTTGGCAAACGCAGGTGTTTGGAAGTCTATCCGATGTAAATCACACAAAACTAGTTATTCTTTGAACGCTTTATTTTGCAACCCTTGATTCCAGCAAGAAGCACTCTGAAATCAAAACAACATCCAAGACGTAGTCTTTGATACCCATTACGTTGTCAGAAACTTATAACTGCGAAAACTAAAGTCGCAGTGATATCAAAAATCAAGTCAAAAAGAAATTGCTTACCATTTCAAAGAGCAGTCTGACAAGCTTTTCAGATTCTCCTCGGTATTTGGAAGTCAAAGTGGATGATGTCACGTTGAAGAATGTTGTCCCACACTCAGTTGCTACCGCTTTTGCCAACATGGTTTTTCCTGTACCAGGTGGACCAACCATTAAAACGCCCTGGCCGAAAGCAAAATAAGATCTTGAAAAATTTATTGTTTCTTAAAATTATCAAGAAAACCTTCACTCAAGTTACAATGTCTGCAGAAATAATCACAGCTCGTTGCCTGGCTCAGCAGAACCCAATATGATATACAGTAGAATCCCGTTATAACGTACTCGGTTATTACGTACTTTCGGATATAACGTACTGGTGTGCTTGTTGCTTGGTCCCGGCAAAAGGTGTGCTTGGTCCCAGCAAAAGGTGTGCTTGATCCCAGCAAAAGGTGTGCTTGGTTTTAGTCAATTTCTACATACCCTGGTTACAACGTACTTCGGATATAACGTACTTAATACGCTGGTCCCTTAAAGTACGTTATAACCGGATAACACTGTATTTGAGCTACAATTACTTAGTTCAAGGTTTTCATGCTTAAAAGTAGCCTTAAAAAGGACTTAAATCAGATAGCATCTGGCTAATAAATGAATATGTAGAAAGAACATCTGAAAGTACGAAGACTAATGAGACTTAAATCTACATCGATAAAGCAAGGCTACCTAAAAAAACTCTCATTGCTATTGCCTAATGCTGCTCAATGTACCCCAGACATATTGCTAACAAAAATCTTCGAGCAAATTTTAAGCAATAGTGAGTTTCGCATGTTCCGAAAAAACTAACTATGCAATGCTAATTACAAACACAGATCATGTGATCCAGCAAAACAACATTTATAATCGTGAGCCAATTTTCAGGAGCTTCTTCTGTGAACTGCTTCTGTTATTTGCTAATCCTGCAAGCTGCTAACCACTGTGAACTGATACATACATACATACATACATACATACATACATACATACATACATACATAGATCAATGATTTGTTAATGCAAGTCATATGCAAGTCAGCTTAAAAAGCTGATGTGGACCTGCAAAGTAAAGATAAAGCCTACCTACTTACAATTTGATTACCTGGTTTAAAATAATTTTTAAAAAAATAAAATGGTTGTCCCTTTGTTTAACAGAAAAAATTATTAAAAGATATTGGTTCTAAACTTCTGCTGTTCTTTGACAACCTCTTAATATGAACTGGATACTTGTATTTGTATTTGTTTATGTTGCTACCTAGCATCCGAAGGTAGTTTTTAGGACACTGAGAAGCTTATGTTTATCGAGTAGTGACTTGGTCCTTCCTCTCGATTTAACCACACCTCATGATTCCTTCAATTGGAATTACAGAGAGCTGGCGAGTCTCCCCATTCTGAGTGAAAGTTTGGTCATGCCATGGACTCGAACCACAGACCTTTGGGTCTTTAGTCAGCGCCTCTAACAACTGAACCATCCTCGCACCTTATACTGGGTACTGTCTTTCATAACTGGATACTGTTTTTCAAGATATAATAATACCCCCTAACCGTGTCATATCAATTCCCTAAACACCAGATACACACCTTCCAGGGTCTCCGAATACCAGTGAAAAACTCCGGCATCCAAAGTGGAAGGACAACAGCTTCCTGTAAGAGCTTCTTAGCGTCAGTCAGGTCAGCGATATCATCCCTGCATAGCAAGAAGAGAGTTGAGCATTTTCGAAATTGAATAGTGCTATGTATACCAGCGCAGAATACTAGTTTACGAATCCAGATCTTTTTATGGCAATAATTTAAAGCACAATAATTATGGGGCTGTATCCTGCTTTTCTCTCGATGCTTCGCGATGTTTCCTTGTCTCAAATTTTAATTTCTTTGTGTTAACAAAAAATTATTTTAGTGCCTTTCAACAGTACTGCTACTGCGGCCTTTCACTTCATACACAGTCAATAGGTTCCTCAGTTCAAACGAGCTGAACTCGTCACCTCGTTCTTTAAGCTGCAGGCGAACCAACGAAAAAGCTTGACCCAACACTTATATTATCGATGGGCATAGCGAATCATAATTCACTATAGTTTTCATAAACGCCAGAGAGATGATAGACTTGAACTACTGATCGCCTAGGATTAGGGTAACCTCTCCTGTAAAAACTACAATCCTTGCCAAAAATAGTTGGAGCACTTGCGACATTCAAATAAACAAGTCTAAAAATACCTTACCAAAATATCACTGCCGCTTTCAAAATTTCGACCCCCTCTCCTCGTACAATGGTTTATTTCTCAATAGGGTCATACAAGTTTCAGTGAAAATATTTTTACCTTCAGCATCAAAACAGCCAAATTGAATAACATTTTAATGGGGGGTGGGGGCGGGGATTTTTCGAAAAAGGCTTTATCTTTGCGCAAGTGTTCCAACAATTTGGGCAAAGATTGTATATCTCGCATTATCATTATACAGACAATTTCACATCGGTCGGATTATTCAGGACAACATAATCAGCCAGGACAATATCATAGAGACAATATCTAAAAACATCAACCCCTTTTCCCTCCTCTTACTCTCTCTGAAGCATGCAAGCTGCCTGTAACAAAAAAATTGAAATTTGACTTACAAAAAACATTTCCCAAATAATTGATCAGATTTAGTTTGCTAACTTAGCAATTCTCCGAAGAGCTGAGGGGAACAGATGTTCACTTCTATATCAAGTACATTATATGGTCCAGTAAAAGGCATGTCTTTCTTCCTAACAATGACTTCGCGCGCGGAAAAACCTCCTCGGACGGACAGAGGATGCAAGGAGTTGTTTGGGCACTGGCCAACCATATTGTCTTTTTATCTTAAAGCTAACTGGGTAGCACCTCCTCCCTCATGGAAACATCCCTACCATAAAAACCATGAAGACAAGAGAAAGTGTTGAAAATGGTTCAAAAGGAAAAATACAGCTTCATGCACAAAAAACACTCAAATTATTTGAACTGGCACCAGCCTTTAAAAAACTTCAACGATATAAATATCTGCGTAATTAAAAGCTGTACCATTGATTTGTGCGCCACCTTGAGCTAACAATTTTTGCAAAAAATTAGAAGAATGATCCATTCATCCTTACCGGGATTTGTAATCTGAACAGAAAATTAAGCAGCTTTGATGTTGGTATGCTGCAGTAATTAAAACCGATGTGACATAATAGAAAGCAGCATATTTAGAGATGTTAAAATAATTAGAAAGAAAGACATGTTGCCATTAGAAAACGTAAACCCCCATGTTGAAATCAAATTTGCGACCATCCCCCCCTTCAATGCTCAGAAAGTTGGTGGCTGAGAAAAGTGTAAATCTGCAATAAAATTAGTACCCCAAGGAGAGGGGTTGATATATTTCCAACAAAATTAAAATGTTTAGAAGACAGCAAACAAACGACTGTAAGAAATAGACTGAAATGTATTTTAAGCTAATAAAGGGCGTAGTCGCAAAAATTCCCCTCCTCTGTACCTCTGCAAAATGTTTTTAAATTTCCCCTCGTTTTAGGGTTTATATAGGAAAGTCCTTCACCTTCTTTAGGCATTTCCGATAAAAACTTAAAAGCTTAAGCGCTTCAATCCTTTAAAATACTGGAGTCTGAAATGCTTGTTGGGGATTTTACTCCAAGGAGAACGGACTTAGTTTTAAAATTTTGAATACTGTTTATCATTCCTAGATATTTGACTTGATTAAGAACTTTGGAAAATAATATTTTACACGTAGCGCTTCCTCGCCTTACACAATTCAGAATACAAACGTTAGAGGAATTGTGAAGGAAATACACAGTCATAGAATAGGGTCGGCTACAAAAAGCTACGTATGACGGTTATTGTGTTTGATTAGCCAACCATTGCCACGTTAAAGAAGCCATATAATGCAAAGGCATTTACAAAATGGGGCTATTTTCCAAATTCTTTAAGGGTGTGGTCAGCAAAAACTGTCCTCTTTGCCCCTTCAATCTTCCAACCCTGGCTACGCCACTGGGAATGGTACGCAATCGTTCCCGTATGACCAGGGGCTAAGCTTAAAATCAGTAAGGAACAGGCGGAAACTTACCATCTCACATTCGGATTCCTTTGAACAATATCTCTTTCCAATGATTCTACTAAATCTTTATCGTAACCTGAGGGATCAAATTTCTTCTCTTCCCCTTCATTGACAGCTTTTTCATCTCTCTGAACAAACAAACAAAGAAACAAGTTCAGTAGCATACAAGATTTTTAAAAATACATTTGTAAAATGTCTGGGTTTAAGGTTTAGCAAATATTTCTGCCTAAGGAGAACACGTGCGTTTTTCACCTTGCTTCTATTTTATTGCTTGCTACAAGGAATGACAATACTTTGTGCTCTTGGGTTTAAAGTACTTCACACTTAAAAAACGAACCGATCATAAAGCATGTTTACTTGAGCTCAGATCTTTATTAAACATAGATTGCCAATTACAAAAACAGAGCTGTTTACACATTTACAAAGCAGTCTTTCTTCAGAGGAGTAAACAACTACTTCATCTAGATCTCATCAAACTTTTACTTCGTCTTTGGCCACAAGGATAAACTTTCTTCAGAAAACCATAGAAGCTTAGCAATGCAGTTTGTAGTATCCAAGACCATATCAAATAAAATACCTTGTTTTTAATTCCTGAATCAACCTTTGGTTTAGCATTAGCACCAGGTTTTGCAGGTGCATTTGACTTCTTTTGTTGTCTTGAAGGTGCTTTATTTCTTGAAACTGCAGGCCGTGAGGATGGCTTAGCATATGATGGGGAGTGATCATCATTTCGGTTACTCCTTCCAACTGGTCTTTGAACAGGTCTTACTGGTCTAACAAAGGCATAAAGAAATGCTTAAATGAATGGTTACTTTTGGCCTAAAGACCTGGTCCAAAAGTTCAACTATGGGGCATGAAAACTGACAATGTGTATATCAAATCTATCAGAAAAACTGAGAAATTAAAACTTTAAGGATAAACAATATTAATATCATAATAGTGACACAAAATACAAATAAACAGTCTAAATACCAACTAACCATACATTTATTTCACAAAATAATTTCAAAAACTGTACAAATTAGGAAGGAAAGGAAAGGCTGAAAACTGAAGAAGCTATTTGGTTTTCACTTCATTCTATTAAATGGTCCTGAAAGGAAGCCTTTTAATCCCCGTGGGCCACATCCAGTCCTTACATTGTTTCTGTCCAGCTCACAAGAGGGTGTGGTCAATCAGACCATGGGTAACTATTAGGAGTACTATTCAACTTGACCTACACCACCATTTCATACATCTAAAAAAAAGTTAATGCTATATCCATACCTTGCTAATAACAAGTAGCATCTAAGATGTATTATAGTTTACTGCTTTTTACATGAATATTTTCCATAATAAAGTTATCGTTTGTTTGGCCCTCCAACACAGATCAGGTTTTTTATGTGGCCCTGTTACAAAAATTGATTGCCCACTCCTGATCTAGATATCAATCTAGAAAAAACATTCTCAGGGCCAGAAGGACTTAGTTTGAAAAGTGACATGCATGTGACAGGCTACACAGTAAAGACTTTTGGCAATAACAAAGAATAGCATGTTGATTAAGGCCTTATGCATGTAGTTTATTTTTTTAAATGTGATTCCAGTGTGCTCCTCTAATTTCAAAATTCTGATTACTCACTGTTCCTTTTAGTATTACAACAAGGCACAAACTATGATATTTCTATGTTTTCAAAGGAAACAGTGTAATAATTACATGTTTCCAAGGTGAAAGGAAAATAGATAAAATATTTTTAAGGGTAGTTTGAAAAAACAGTTTAGTAGCTGCAGATGACAGACATAGGAAATAAGAAGTATTTGATGAAACAGTGGTAGATGAAAAAATTGTGCTTTCAGTCTCCATAAAGTGGAGATTTTCTTGAATAACTGATAGCCTTTTAAATGAAATATATGGATTTGAAAGGGTTTATCATTAGTTTTTGGAAAATGTGTACAAGATTTTTAAAAACCAAATAATCTTTACAGAATTATAGAATAAAGCTTCTTGAAAACCAAATAATTTAACAGAACCATACAAGCTTATTAGCCTCTGTTTCCATTACACTGCTTCATATGAATGAATCCGTTTTAGATTTTGCATTGAACTTCCCATTGATATGCTTTGATACATATTATTTTTTAAAGCCATATTTTCTGAGAACAGAGACATACAAAAACAGAGTAATCAAAACAGGGTCTTAAAGAGTGATCATACCCCGAGAAAAAGGTTACAAAGATAATACACACAAAAGAAATTATAAAGTACTCTAAAGAAAATTAACAAAAAAATTAAAAGATAGAAAAAAGAAATGTGCTGCTACCCATTAAATAAAAAGCACACCTGGGAATTTTAGGTGTCTTTGGAGGCTTGCACATGTGATCACAAACCTAATAATGCCAGAAGGGTGCTTCAGTTTGAATAAGCATATCCATTGTCAAAGCATCAATGTTTTATCAGCTGTTTAATAACTTTCTTCAGTCAACTTTTAAATTTATATCATTAACCATGCACAATTATGAACACTCTCAAAACAGCAAGCATTGTACCTGCTTTCTCTTTCAACTGGTGTTGGTGGAGGCCATACATCAGGGTCCCTAGTTGGTTCTTCAACATGAAAACCACCATGCCGAATAGGTGCAGATGGACTGAAAGTGTCTCTTTTGAAATTTGCTAGCACTTGGCTGATGTCTTTCACATATTCATACTCTTTTGCGATTTCCTGTCTTGCCTTCAAGATATGAGTAGAAAAAGATGAAAATGCAAATAAATTTCTGAACAAAAATGTAGATTTATGTGGAGGATGGTCATTAGGTTGTTCAGGGACTGCATCTTTTAGATTGAATACGGTACTATGTGGAGAGGATATAATAAAAGTGGCATCAATTACTTCTAGACTATGTTCAAATTATATCAGATAGCTATCATTGCATCTTTATTTTCATACCCAATTGGGATTCTGCAGGCCTGGCCGTTTGTATTTTTATAGGCGAGCTGTGAATCACTCCCCTCATTTGCTGAGGCGAGCTAAATCAGTAAAACATAGAATGTACTTTAAAGACAATCGACAGATGACTTAATAAGCCCCTTTAGTATCTGTCGGTTGCCTTAATGTAATTGCCTCAGTCAGGAGTGTGCTGTTTTACTTCTTTCAATTTGTATTTGCTTTAACCGTGACTTAGGCACCCCCTTTACTTGAAGTATTTAAAAGAACAGACTTTTTCAGTTCCATGTAAAGCTGGCACAACACAAAAACAACAATTCTCTTGCAAAACAATCTTTTTGTTGTACAGAATTTGAAAATGGCTTTGAAAATTTTTTTTAAAACAAGCTGAAGTTATATGTCTAGCACTCTTCAGAGAATAAAACATCAGAACAAAGATGGAAAACTTTACGCTAAAATACCCAGTTTTGGATCGAAATAGGCCAATCAGAAAGCGCGAGCACATGACTGTTGAGGTTGTCCAATCAGTGCTGCTTTCCTATTGAAAATGTTACCAACGGAGTCCTAAGGTAAAAACGAACTCACTTATGTCTACACAAAAGCGGTTGGTCATGTTTATATAGTAGATAGATTCACAAACTGCTAGATGGAACGATGATCAGGCTTTGCCAATAATGCCAAACATGTTGCCGTTATAGTTTTCACCCAATCTGGGTTTTTCAGTAAATGCTGCTGGATAGTGGAATTCCATGTTTTGGTTGTCGTTTTTGATCTGCAAGACAGAGTACCTTGCTCTCTTTGAGGGATAGTTTTCTTTCTATTGCTGGAAGGGACCTGCTGTCTTATTATATCCCAATCTACAATTCCTACCAATTTCTTCGATTTTCCTTCCAAAAATATTCCTGTTTTCTTAAGATTGAAAGGTTCTAATCGCTACAAATGTACCTTTCGGTTAACTATCTTTTTCCAAATAGATCGAAGTTTATGCCTATCATAACAAAACCGCCCAACAAGCAAAAAGTTAATTGCAAAAAATGCAATGACGAAAGAAATCGCTGTTACAAAAATAAACCAATTAACCCTTGTGCGTTTTCATAATTCTCTGAATAGGAAATTTTAGGGGAGCGATTCTTCCTTCATGTTCTGTTTAGGAGAGCAATTCATAGCTCGCCTCAGGTTGCGAGGAGAGCGTGGAGGCGAGCGCGAGCTATCGCTCGCCTCAAACGGCCAGGCCTGATTCTGTTCACAGTACAAAAAAGTATCACTATCTTTTGAGTGGAAGAACCAAAGTTTGCAGAGTGGTCAGTATCCAAAAAACAAAGTAACAAAATACAAAGATCAACAAGTGTAGATGCAGTTATGTTGTCATTGCGTCTGGCAAACCCAATTGAATGTTAATTATCTATTTAGGAAAACAGGAATAACTTTTCTCACATCCTAAGCAAACATAATGCTGGGTGTGACATGACACCTGTTATTGTCATCCTCGACTTTTTTATTTAGTGTTGACTTAAATGTTACGCTATTAAATAGATCCAAATATCTATAATGAAAGCTGGTTCCTATGCTAGTTTATAAATTCTAAAAAACAAGCTTTTAAATGGATGACAATGACAATGTAAAAAATGTCAAAGGCCTACCAGTTGCCATTTCTGTTTACTGCTTGATTCGCCAGTTTGAACCATACGCTTTTGGATTTGCTGCAGAACACCTTGATAATAAATAACAGCTGTGTCGTAATTTCCAAGAAGCGCATTTTCGCGAGCCATCTCGGCATTCTCAAGAATTTCAGCTAGCTGATTACTCCCCATTTTGTTATCTTTAAAAAATAGATGGCGCTTCCCTGCCTGTAAACAACAGCAACACAGATTTAGCAATGATAATAGGATTTGGCTACTGGCATGGTAACGAGACTGGTCACGGCTTCGATAAGCAGCTCTACTTAGAAGAACACACAGAAAGAACACAAAATTTTGCAAGAAAAGTTCGGAAGCAACTCACTGATCGTGAAAAATATCCGTGGAACCAGCCATTTGAGAGCAGGGGTGAAAATGCTGGAGGGTATGGGGGTGCTGCACCTCCCCAATCTTCAAAAAAGCAGATTTGGTAGGGAAAATTTATGGCTGCCAGTATATCGTTCGGGCAATTCTGGAAATTGTGTTTAGGTCGCAATTTTATTGCTGCTTTTTGCCCCAGCTTGGTTTTTTAATTAATGGTCTTTTCCATCCACCTTTTTTCAACCTCCGTCCAGTTGGGAAAACAAAACAGAAACGAGGCAAGCAACAGCAACATACGCCGGATAAATTTTCAGCGGATAAACTTAGTCGAAAAAGATTTCGGAAAACTTTTCAGAATTTCGTCGCTACAAAATTTCGCCGTGGATATGTAACACGGAGATAGATAAATCTTAGAGTCGAAACCATACAAATTGCTTTATACTCAATCCCATAGGTACCGACTTCGTGAAGACTTTTTCACACAGCATGCCAGAAAAACCAAATTATATATTTTTATATAAATTATATGCGGTATATTTTCTCTGTTTATGCAAAAGTGTGGGCAAAAAGATGCTTTTAGCATCCGAAAAGTCTCTACTCTATATCTTCATGGTCGTATGAAAGTTTATAAACAGAGCACAATCTCCAACAGGAAAAGTTGGTTAAATTTTGCTTTCTGTAGAGTTCAAAATTTGGGTGGAAAAGTGCAAATATCTTAAATGATTGAAAGAAAGTGAAATCTGGATGCCTACAATAAAGATATTTAAGAAGATGATATAAATGAGGAAAATGACGTTATTGATATTGAGATGATTAAAAGGATCCATAAATTGGATTCCTGACCTAAAATCAATCGTTTATCTATGCGAATTCTCAAATGCTCAAAAATCTTAAATGCAAAAGATTTCGTCGCGACCAAATTTCGTCTCATTTTGAATTTACTTGAAAGGAATTTCGTCAAAATAGTTGTCCGAAATTTTGACACTCGACCTGTACTTGAAGCAACAATATTGACAAACAATTGAATTTTGAAGAAGTCAGAATTTCTTGAAAATCTACCAATGGCTTGTTAACAAAAAATTTAGACACAAAGACTTACATAACAAAAATAATAAAAATACATAATAAAAATTCACTTTCCTCAACTATGTACAGTATTATAAAAGAAGCGAATCAGAAATGTCAAGCGCATTTGAAAACAAAAGACAAATTGTTTTTGTTTACAGCTTCAGAAATCCTCCCAAAAAAGGTTCTCTTAGAAATTTCCTAGCATGAAAAATCAAATATACGTTAAGTATCAAAAATTCGGTGCCAAAAATTTACGTGGCCTTATTTCCTGTGGAACAAATTTTCGGTCATATTATTCAAATCTCAGTGCAGTTTTTAGTGAGAACTTCAAAAACTTCGACAGAAAGAAAAAATTCCGATGAGTAAAGAAATGAAACACTCTCTGTAAATTATTTCTATCTTCAACAAAAAATTATCTGGAAGGCAGTCATAAATGTGATCAAAATTGAATATTTTCATGTCTGCCAAATAAATGGAAATGAAGAGTAGGCTGTTGTTTGCTTTTTTATTTCATTTTTCATAATCCATGGAGGAAAATTAATTGGAAGTGTTTTCGATCGCCAATCGCAACGAGGGGATTAGAAATTCTGATCCATTAAAAATTGAGGTGTCCGAATTGAAACCGCTGGAATTTGAGAAAATAAATTTGATGCAGAGAGCGAAAAAGAAGAAGGTTAAGGTGAGTTGAACATCTTATTTGTTGATGATGAAGAACCAGAAACTTGAAATTGATCTTTATTGGCTGTATAATAACACTGAAACAATAACAAGGAACAATTTTTGGTGCTATTTTGAAAATCCATCGGTGCAAAATGACCTTTTTCTAGTTTTTGAAAATTTCGGTTTCCAAAAAATTCAGTGGGATTTATTTTCGGTTTCTTTTATCACTGTTAAAAACTAAAACAAAATACAATATTCTGTGCCGTCCACAAGAGAAATAGAGTCGCTAGCATGCACCAGTTTAGGACAAGCGAATCATGGATTTAGAGTGGATTACTTACAGGTATGTATATGAGCAATGGTGTATGTCGTTACATTTATAAAAGAGAGGGCTGTTGGCTGCCTGTCATGGCTTTTCGAAGGCAAGAGGAATGCATATACGGCAATCCTCATTGGCTGCGAATGGGAATCATCATCGAACTGGGACAATCAAATTGCTAGAAATGACAAGTTTTGGGTTTTTCTTTCAATATTCTTAAAGGTATGTTTTTAGGGAATATTCGTTATGCAGATATGTCAAAGAGGCACGCGAAGACATCTCGAGGATCATAAGCAGCAAGCGAACACGAAAAAAACAACAGTTTATCTACTTCACTACTGTATATACATAATTTATCGCAAATGTTTTGATCTCGATCGAAGCAAAAGGCTACAGTTATCGAATGTGTAGATACTGCTAATGAGGGTGTACCAAGGCCAAGTTTGAAAAGCTACGTATTGTAAAATGCAATGCAAATTTAATTCTCCTCATATTTACAGGCTTGGTTTATTAAAACGCGATCATTTCCACAGACTAACGAGAAACAAATTCAGAGTATCTGTGAAATCACAAGGGAAATTCTCAAACTAAAATAATTGTTTACCGCTATAAGCATATTAAATATTGATTTCTAGATACTTTTTGAGGGTTGCAACGCATAAAAGGATTAAGGAAACAATTTAGAATAATCATTCTTAGAGGTGTAATCGATCGAAAAATTAAGATAATTTCTAACATAAGGTTTGTTTTCTGTTTGTTTATAGCTGCTTTTGCTGGTTATTTTGCCAATGAAAACCAAGGGATTTTTGCACATCCTGAGGCATTAGGCATTATCGTTTTCTCTTTTATTCACCCTCTTCAAAGGCAACTTTTTATAAATTTACTCAAAACATCTAGTCCAGTGTGAAATATGCGTTTCAAAATCTAAGAAACGGGGAAGCCATATAATATAAGAAAAAAGAATCGGGAAATCTTCAGTGGAAGGAAAAGGTAATTGGATGTTTTATCTACAAAATATTTGCATTGACAATGGAAAAGGTTAAATTTAAGGAGGCAAATTTGTCTTTCTTAAGGGCATGAAATCTTCATGATTCGTAAACAAACAAAATTATCGTTATTAAATGCGCAAAGATATATATTAGATTGAAGTGAGTTTTTAAAAAGTCTAATCTGTAAAGTATATAGTGTTAAACAAGGTTGGGGGGGGGGGGGTTTCTTTTAGGGTAGATTGGAAGATAAACATTCTCAGTAATTCACGGAATTGTGAAATCAGTAATTTTGTAACCTAAAACCGTATTGCAATTGAACAAAACTAGCTCCAGTTTGAGATGAAAACATCAGTTAAAAACGTAGAAAATAAAATAATGCGATAGAATCCTGTTAATTCAATCGTACTTCTAACTATTTTAATACTTAAAAGCACGATTATTACATTGTCGGTATTTCAGTTTCCGAAACCTAAGGCCCGGTCATTTGCTCTTAAAAAACCAGTCTCTCGTTGCCAGGATGACACAACGGTTGATGCTCGCTATATGAGGCTTTTATACTGTTTGTCGTAGGAGAAAATCGTTCGTTAACGCAAAAATAAACAACGCGCAAAAATTGTTTGCCAAACACTTGCTTAGTTAAGCCTTATCTTAGATTTAAGCATCGGTCCTGCTGTCTATATGTGTTATTGGCTCTTAAGAATACCTTTGAAACAACTAACTGATACCAGATTTGTCGTCCACTTACTCTTTTAAACATGAATAAGCCCTTAGCAAAAGCGGGTGTAAAAAGCTTGAAAATTCTCAAAAGAACTCTTAAAAAAACGAAACCGTTAAAACAGGATATTCGCTCTGCTCTAGAGACCCTCAGCTTGACACGCCTTTGCTTCGTTCTGGACTTAGATGAAATATTGCAAATTAATCATAGAACATTTTCCTTGTGCCATCTGGGATGGTGATCGAGCTTTAACTGTTCTTTAACGCCACTTAGAAAGGTTGCCAAGCTATGCTAAAAACAAAAACACGCTGTTAATAGGGAAAATTTGCGTAAGAGTTTCAAGGCCAGGTCTACACCGATAGGCTTTTGAAGCTTAGGTTCTCCCATCTTTAAGGAAGCGACGCATTTTCAGAAAATTCCACTTTGAGCCAGAGAGGAAGGTTTTGCTGGCAAAAGTAAACATTTTTTACAGTTCTTCTTTCAATTGTTCTTCCAATAAATCACAAATAATACTAAGAACTATCAAAAGTTATGATAATGCTGTAATACAAAATTGATCAAAGTTAAAAATGAGAAGGAAATCTATTGGGAAATATAGATGCATCAGGAAAATTGTTCTTGAACAACTTGATAAGGGCCTTCTAAGACATCTAATTTATTAATTCCTCTAGCATAAAACACTGCTCAGCTGTTTTATCAGTAACTCCCCATGTTTATATTCAGTATATTTTATATTCTATTTTTTAAAACAAGAAAGGTGTGGGATGAAAAAAAACTGCAGATTTGGAGGAAGTTCAACAACTTTTGCAACTTTGTTCTTTACGGCGTTTTTGAATGTTTGCGTTTTCAGTCACTGATTTGTCGCTGTCATGTAGATGGGATATAAAACGTAACAAGATGAGTGTGTTCTCATTCGAAAACGTGTTTGTGTAAAACTAGCCTAAGCAAAAACAGATCAGCCCCGCGGTGTACACTTGTATACTTGCAATGATGGGTGCTTTCCGGGGCAAGGTACATTGCAATGGACAATGGTAAAACGACGGTTTCTTGGAATTTCTTGAAAACGACGATCTCTGAAAATTTCTTGGAACTAACCACAAACCTAATTTAGGCCATAATGCAACTAGTTAAGCTGCTCAATCTTCGGCTTGCAAAAAGATCTACAATCCTGGAAAGTTGTGACTTCAAAGCCCCTCCCACCGGCAGAATATTGGCTGAATATCTATGAACACATAAGCTTGAACAGGGAAAAGGAGGGGGGCGATGAAAGGGCTGAGATGCTGTATATTAGATAGGCTTCTTGTCACGTGTTTTAGCATTTGTCTCAACAGCAGTGTTTACATCTGGTAAGCAAAACACGCTGTCTTGACGACATTGATCACTGTAATCATTATTTGACGGTTAAAAGCAAGGGGGATTAGAAAATGTAAAATGTAAACCTTTTCTTCCAGCAATTTCAGATAATCCTCTAAGAACAGAGAGCTCCTCTGCTGTTCTGTCTTTTCATTATTAAGCTGTTGCTCAAGATCACGCCTGAAAAAGTATTAAGAAGTTGAAATCGGTTAGAAAAAATACGAGTGAAATGGAAATGGAGCTTCTTCAAAAACGTATATCAACTGGACAAGGGTCAGGCAAAGAAATATGGTGTTGAAAGAAAAGTAGATCGACCCAAGATAGATGTTTGTATCTAGGATATTCTTAGATTCTTGTGAGAGACTACCTTCCACTAACTGCTAAAAATTGTTTTTTTTGAAAATCTAGTATCGCTACAAATGCTTTAAGTTAAGGCTGTGATGCATGTCAATTAAAGTTCTAATTTGACATTTTATTTAACTTCAGGCTTCCTAGTCAAATTCGCAAGGCCTATCATATATTTCTAGGCCTGTCATACATTTCTAGTGATTTATACAAAGGATGTGATGGCCAGTTTCCTAGAAAGAGTAGACTTATAGGGGATGAGGGATTGAGGGGGTTCTCAAACAATTGAAGCAAGTGGGATTGTTACTTGGAAACAAAGGATTTTCATTATTTTTTGGGGATCGTGTCCCCCCCCCCCCACCCCAATAGTAGCTACAGCCTTTGTAGTGTTAAAGCCAGTTAAAAAAGGGCTTTTTTGCATCCATACCAGTCACTTTTTATCTTGGACAACCGTAATGTTAAACACTGTCTTGCTTATGTTATAAGGACCTGATGCAGAATCGTTGCAAAAAGGAGCATCATCACTTTTCTTTAAAAGTTTGTATTGAGCAGATCTAAAAAATTGCAAAAATAGATTGAAGTGTTAGCAGAACAGAAGATAAATAACTTACTTCCTCCCAATAAGATAAGTCATTTCATTTTGAAGCTCGACATATTCGTTGAAAAGCTGCAACGAAAAAACTTTTGAAAGCTGGGAGTAACACTATAGTTGAACAAAGTAGTTTTGCTTCTAAGGAAACTCTCTAGTATTACTAAGCTTACAGGATGCTCTTAAACCTGCAAAGGGCAAGGCATTAAATCAGCTGTAATACCTACGTCAGGTTAAGTGGAACCAAATACTAACACTTGATGGATACCTGGTAGTTTGCAATACATTGGTAACATTTATAGCTGCCATACAATAATAATACCTTAATTATAGTTCCTTAGCAATACCTGAACTGCAATATCTCTTTAATAAGTAAATTGTAATACCTTTGTATGCTGATCATAGATAATTAGCGATTCTTGGTGGCTGAAAAATGGCTTGACAGGCTGTAGAAAGAAAAAATAACAATAAGGATCATATCATAATGAAGTGACCAAATCTGACTAATAAAACGATCAGTAGGGTATCCAAGTACGAATTTTGAACATATAGCCTGAAAGGACTCCAGGGGAACATAACTTAGCCAATTTGTAATAAATTTGGCAGATTTTGCATTTTAGAGGCATTCTTTGATGCTCTTTCAGGTTACGTGGCCAATATTAAAAAATTCATAAAAAAGTTTCTGGCGCCGTCATCAATTGGAGCACTATTTGCTGGTTCATGAAGGTCTACGAAAGTCTAATGTATTAGGTCATTTTTGTCTGACGTCTTTGGTCCTTATCATAAATGGCGCCAAAGAAAAGCAGAAACTGTGCTCAAGTTCTATATATAAATTGGAAATGACCGAAACGATGCTAGTTAGCACTTTGGTACTCGACCATAACAAACTAATCATGACGTATATCAAAGCCCCTTACTACCACAAAAGCCTTGCGCCGGAGCTACGATACTCATTAATGCGCAGGGAAGTTAAACTCAAGTCCCAGAAGCCCAACCCGGCAGTGATCGAATTGTATGTTGATAAATACATGTCTCGTATTACTTAGATGTACCTTATTATTAACAATTACTAAACGAAGGTTAAGTCTGTCATGCTTGTAAGTCATTCCATTAGCTCACTTGGCATCATCTCTTTAAATGTGCGACTCTACCCTAATCGATGAACAATAGAGATGAGATCTAAGTTCTAAGATTGAACAACATCTCAATATCTATTCGCACTACCAATTATATTTGTCCCTTTCCAAACAAAATATAGACTATGCGCCTTTTAAGAACACACATAGTTATACGAATTTCGCTTGTTCTTGATAATTATTTTAAAATCCAGGCACGCCAAAAACAAATTGTTTGTAACAACCTGGTTTATAGCTTTAATTTGAATGCTTAGTTTAAGAAAAATTGAACAATAAGATACTGTTACCAATAAGATAATAATTGCTGAATAAATATTCATTCCGTCTGGCCAATGAGTGGCAGCATGCTTAATATTTTGGCCCTTTCTAAGATTTAACTGAACACCTCTGCTTTAACGATTTCTTTTTCTTTGTTTGTAAATCCACTTCACGTTTCCAATGACAACTTCGATAAATTAATAATTTTCAGTCAACCTTAATTCGTTGAGGTGCGTCAAAACCAACCACTACCTCTTCCATAAATATCAAAGAGGTATTTAGGCCTTGCGTGTCACCAAACTTGCGTTGTGGGATATCACAACGAGAAAGTGCTCATGGGACGGGGACAACAAGTATATTCTAGCTTAGCAAACTTACCATTACTTCAGGGTCTATAAGATACCAAAGCTTCTTCTCAAACTGCGTGGTGGGTGCTAAAAAGGAAGAATAAAAGCGAAAAATGAACTTTTTGGTTCCGATGAATATCTAGATCAGTGAATTTTAAAATGGATCACGTGCTAGAATAGAAAGCTAAAATTCTAGAAAGATATCTGCAGAACCTGAGAGCAAGACCATTCCTGGACTGCTGACTATCAATTGTAAATATTAGTTGCATCTAGCATTAAGCGACTGCCATCCAACTACCCAGCTCTTCAGTCTGACTTTTGACAGTCCTCATACGCATTGAAAAGTTCCAATGAGACAGCAAAAGCCAACGAAACTGACACAACAAAAGCCTCTGAAAACTGACAAAGAGACCATCAAAGTCTCGGGAGATTGCCAAAGACCGAGGAGACTGCTAAAATCCTTGATGGCTGACATTACAGGGCATGAATGGGAAGAATGGGAAGATAAGAGAAAAAGGGTCATGTGCCAAAAGCCGCAATGATGTGTCACCAGTTTAATTAAAGTTTAATAAAAGTTCAAGCAATTTTTTATCACTCCAAATTCATTTTCTAATTTGGTGATTTAAAATTATTCTTACTTCATTAATACCTAAATTGAACTGGAAATAGCTATAATATTTACCTCCAAACTGGTGAAAATATTTACAATCAGGATATTAAATTTGTTAGAATGCAGGTGAAAAAGTACAAATGGAGATCAAATTGGGCAAGCGGTTATCTTTAAGTTGTGAGGCATTAGAATAACAACATTAAAAAACGAGCCAAAATAATTTATGATATGATGTGCCGGTATCAATGGAGGTTTTTAACAAACTACTTAATGAAGAAATAGGTCAGAACCCTGAGAAGAAATCAATTGTGAAAAGCATAAGAGAAAACTTGCATTATTCAATAAAGATCACCATGATAGGCAATATGCAGTAGAGGGTTTGCGCGCATCAACAAAGCAAAAATTTGTAGAATTGCCAAAAATTCTGCAAGCTAAAACAAATATTCTCAAGCCAGATGAAAAACTGTAAGCTGTTATCAAACAAGAATTTTTAAAAACATTATGAAGGGTTCTTAGGTAGAAAACCTATTTTAACCTCATCTATGAGATACATTTGTTTTGTCTTCATATTTTTTTCTTTCGATGAACATGAAAGAAACAAAGGGGCTTCTTGCAAAAGAGTACATTTCAAAGAACTTTATTCATGAAAATTTCCTGCGACCGCCCGGTCACATGGTCGGGTGGGTTTTCATGCCCTGGCTGACAACGTCCCGGGAGAGCGTAACAGCCTGAGCGAGCTGTCAGCGTTGTTATAGCACCGTAACACCCAATTAACTGTTATACCTAATTTCATTCTTAAAAATAACATAAACAGGACAACCGAGGGCAGTCATCTTACCACTATATAAGCCTAGCTTGTCTGTAGAGTCACTTGGATGAATAATAGGACAGAGCCATTGCATGTTTACCAATTTTTAGAATTTCTTATGCATAAATCGGTTCAAATACTTTAATAAGTCAATGGCAACCTAATGCAAGACCAAAAACCATTCTCTTCCAAAGCAAAAAAAATATTTCAAGCTTATATCAATAAAACCGAATGCATAAAAATACGGGATGAGATGCAAGTATTTCTAGCATTGTTAATTGCTACTAAAGACAAAACTTAATGAAAGATCAAACATACTTGATATATTAGGCCTAATGCCGGACGTATGTTGGTATGGTGACGTCATCGGACTTGAACCAGCACTTGATCTCTCTGAGCTTGAGCCTGGCGTAATTGGTACAAACTGTTGGCCTTGAGCGTCAATTCTCGAAAGCAGCTCATTCACAGATGGATGTTCTGGTATAGCATCCGGATGCAGTCGATTATTCCAAGCTGGTGCATTGAAAAACCTCCTTGGATCTGCAGATATTTGAGGGGTGGGCATGGATGTGACGGGATCGTGTGGTTGGGGGTATGGTGGCCTCGGTGATATCCGAGGAAAGTGATCTTCTACAAGAGGTACGTTGTCTTCGGTAAACGAAGTTATAGGATGATAATCATTAACTGGTCCAACATAATGCACGTCACGGGTAGGTTCAGTGTAGTGATAGAGTAGTTCATTAGGTGATTGCAACCTAGTACCTTCCTTGTAATAACGACTATCGTAAGGGAATACCTGCCTATATGGACTTCTGTAAGCCGCTGGCCTAATATCGCCGTAATTGTTTGTAAAATCGGACTCATCCTTTTTTGTGCTATGTATAAGTTGAGAATATGAGCTAGGGGGCGTATCGTATACAGGAATCCAATTGCCTGATGGCTGTCGTGGCAAAAATTCTTGTGGTGGTGGTGGATACATGGTGTGAAGCCTATCGTAAGCAGGGCCAACGGCTTCTATTCGCATAGAACCTTCATGACTATGTGCTGCTTGTTGTTGCATAGTCACGGTAGCAGGTAGGTTACTCTGAGCTACGGGTGGTGCAATCCCTGGCCGTTTATCAACCGCACTGTCTATTGGCACTCTAGGCAGATCAGCTGCCATCGAAGCTACTGATGTTTTAGGTAAACTTTTCTTTCGAGCAGCACCATTGTCTACCGGTGCAAGTTTTTCTGCCTTTTCATCAGTCGGTTGAATAACCTCATTTTCGATAGCTGGTGTTTCCGACGGTGAGAAAAGTACGGATTCGTTCCTGTTTTTTTCTTCGTCTTCATAAATGTCGATCAATGTTTTCTCCGGCGTCTCGCTCTGAGTTTCGTACGAAGAATTCGAGTCACTCTCCCGCCTAGCTGTTGTCTTGGTGATGGTCAAAGGAATGTTTCCTCCGGTCACGTACTACAATAAAAATGACGGTTTTCTGTTACCCTGAATAACGATAATTAAAGCCAAAGGTCTTACATGGTAATACAATGCTAGTTTCTATTAGCAGTTAAAAATGAATTCCACATCTACAGAATGAGGTGTGTTTCTAAAATATATAAGCTCTAAAAGATTGGTAAGTCGTAGTATGCTTTTTAAAGAGAGAAATTCGATAATCGAGGGAGAGACTTCATAAATTGGGATTCCATTCTACCTTAGTCAAAATAAACTTTTTTCACTTGGAAAAGGAAGACTACATGAAAATACATTATTGCACATAACAATAAATGATGTCTTGCTGTTGTTGTGCAAGAATGCTAGAAACAGGCAACATCTCGTTTAGTTTCCTCAAATGAAAACAGAATTTTGTCACAAAGGTTTTTATCATCTCGCAGAAAAGAATTCAATGACTTGCCAGTGAGTGCCGGAAATATTGAATCAAGACTTCTTTTTCGACGACTTTTAGAAAATCATTTCATGATCTGAAACTATTTTGTATTTGGATCGGACTGGCTTGGACTCGTGTCATTATTATTTTAGGCCTTCTACTATTAAAAAGATGCTTTTGAATCAAGACCATAATGACATCAGTATATCTAGTACTGATAGAATTCATTCTCAAGATGTTTATTCCATGAGAACTGTTCAACAATGTGAATTTGCAAGATGTTAAACATGAATTGTTTTCTATATTCGAAATTATCAGATCATATTGGAAATCCTAAAGTCAATGCAACGGACTATTTTTAGAAAATGGAAATTTTACAGTTTCATAATTCTTCGTGAGCTGCCTAGTATATCTATTCGTACAACATCTTACATATTCTGCTGAATTCAAAATGAAAAATTTCCATATTATTTTTAGCACAATTCCGGGACAAATCCGGAATTACATCCTTTTTAATTCTGGTTGTTTTCTTTTTTTCTCTCAGTTTTCTCTTTTGCATTTACGATTGGAATGGTTTTATCTTGTAAACCCAGGCTAGCCAGTTGCAAACTACCTATGTAATAGAGGGGTTTGTAGCTGTAGTGTATTTGAACTGAAATGAAAAGTCTAAATATTTCCTTCAAAATGTTCTATACAAAAATATGGTCCTAAGGCTTAAAAGCTAAGCCATTTTTGAGGTTATGGATAGAGCTCTCCTCAGGATATGTGATGTTCCTAGAAGACTGTTTTTTGGATTTTTTCGATGCCGATAATTCCAGGAATAATTGATATATGTTCATTTATACACATGTTCTAATAACAGTGGTTCCCATTTGCCACAACTTCTATCTCAAGGTCTTTGTATTTTGACAACTTTTCTGTTTAATTGCTGGCAACATTTTCATGGGACAGACAGCTCGAGTTTGGTAAAATTTTCTAAATGATAATATCTGCCTATATATCAGCCAACACAGCTTTTTAATAAACGTTGAATTTTGACGAAAAGATAGGCGGAATTGCAAAGGAGGAGAATTTGAAAATACACATTAAAGTACTTGTTGTATACATATACATAATATCTTACTACTTTATATATATTCACCTTTGATACTTTTTCAAGAAACCGCACAATGGCCGTGAATGGCGGTCTGATTTCCGTGTTTTTGCTCCAGCCACTAAAACAACAAACACATAACTGCAGCGAGGCCATCACTAGCAGCATCATTTGCTGCGCTTTTTACAAAGAATTCATTTCGGAAAAGTTAGGGCAGAAGGTCTGCAAATAGAATCACGGATTTCTGAAGACAAACTTTATCGGTGTATATTATTAACATGCAAGATCTGTATAAAGCATATAAGACGCGGTGGAACGAGCGAAGGATTTCTGAAGCCAGCACTGAAGATTTCACCGTAGCGAGAGCAGTTTATCTTCAGATTCGGTTGTTTGCGGGCCTTGTAAGAGTCATATAACTATGTACCTTATTACACGAAATTAAGAAAGTGACTTAAATAAGGAATGTCATTTTAAAAATTTCTTAAAAAACACACCCTAAATTTTGCATCCCCTTCAGTACTAATGCCTTAATTTTGGTAATCCTAAATTTACGATTTATTTATTTTTGTATGTTTCTACAGCGGATATGTAGAAAAAATTGTTCAAACTTTTTGGGATAAGCTTGGAAAACATGCATCTGCTACTTTTTCAAGCTTGCATGATCTGTTTTGAAATACAGAAATATTTTTGTTCCAATTTTTGTTCTGCATTTGTTCTGCACTTGCCTAGTTAAGAATGTTGACTTATGTAGCACGCCTGATAGGCTAAATTTGAGGCGAATAATATTAAAAAGAAGATATTATCTTTAAAGGCCTCTGTATGATCAATCTTTAAATTTCAAATTAAGTAAAAAAAATTGTTAACAAATGTAACTGAAAATGCATTTGTGCACCAAAATTTCTCAATTATTGTAACTGAAAAACAATTTCTTTGAAAAAATCCTCAATTAATCTTACGTAATACTTTTTTCTGAATAAGGTCGCACCCGCAATTTTGCGTAATAAGGCACATTCTCATAGCATTTGCAAAGTACAGAAAAGCTCGTAAAAGTGAAAACGATTCGAAAAGAGTAAAATGTCAATTAAAACCTATGTTTCTGGGTTATAAACATTGTAAAAATGAATCATTGTTGCAAAATTGATAACAAGAGTGAATTGGACGATTGACAAAAGAAAGAGTGAATGTTGATGGATTAATGTTGTTTTCAAACAAATAACACGATATTCAAATAAGCACTCAAGCAAGTCTCACCAAATCATTAAATCCTCCAGAATTTTAGGCGTTCCGCGAATTAATGGTGGCCTTGTTCCTAAAAAGGTAGGCTAACATGAGAAGTCTTTGTCAAATCAGATAAAGAAGATGAAAATTATTCATCGACGTAGCCAATGTATGGTGTTGTTATAAGAAAATTCTGAAATGGAGTTAAAAATGGCGAAATTAAAAAAGTAGATGATACTCTGACAATAATTCTCTCTTACAAAGACGAGACCAGTATCTCTAATAGTATTTATCTCTACTTCTAGTAAACAATTTTAGATGATCTCTATATAAAATCAAGTGAACTCTATATTGAATCAGATGAACTCTACACTCGTCAGAGTACGGACATGGGATATATTTCTTAGTGAACAAAAATTTTTTGGCAACTGTTTATCAGATCCAAACGAAAATATTCTTAGAAATATATAGCTGTTGTATCAGTGCATAAATTATTTGTTTCAGAAAATCGAAGAATTGTCAGTAACCGCTTTCAAAAATTTGTAATATTGGCAAAAAGTACTAAGAGGCCCTATATATGGCACCCAAAATGAAGTCATTCCAGATTTTTTGTTGGCATGAGTTTCATTTCGGGTCTCCAGTAAAGGGCCTCTAAGTACTTTTTTCCAACATTACAATTTTTTGGAAAGCGGCTATTCACTACTCGTCGACTTTCTCAAACAAAATATTTATGCACTGATAGAACAGCTATGTACTTCTAAGAATATTTTCGTTTGGATCTGATCAACAGTTCCAACAGAGACAAAAGTATTTTTCACCTCTTACAAAATGTCTTTCTCCAAGCCTAGAAGTCATTTCGCATGCAGCAACTAAGACGCGTCATAAATCAAGGATATATAAACAGAATACGTACATGGAAAACAATAGGTGCAACGAAGCAACAACAAACTTAAAAAATAACATACCACTGTGAACTGCCCACATGATCCGGTACGGTGGATGACCAATGTTTTCAAACGGCTTTCTTCTAGATATCATTTCCCATAGCACGACGCTGAAGCTATACGGAAAATGCAAGGTGATAGATAATTCATAAAATAACCAAAAATTATCAAATTATATGGAAAAACTATACATTTCAAGGACAATTATCTAAATAGAACATACTGACCTTTAAAGATTAAAGTTTCTTGGCAATTGATCAGTGAATAAATATAACGAATAAAAACTCATAAAAATAACCAAAAGAAAGATACAGTAGTAGAAACGAAGATTATTATTCAAAGTTTGCAGTATCAAGATTTAAAACTCAAATTGTCATTTTAAACGCAGGAAAGCCCAAGAACAATACAATCCCTTTAATGCTAGAAATGGCGATAAAGGTGGATGACAGTGCTTTGTCAGTCATGGTGTTTCCAGTGTTTCAGTAACGTTTCGCCACAATCAAAAATTCAACAATACGGGAATGCAGTTTCCTCTATTTAAGTGTCACAAAACACTTCAATTATATTTTCGATTGAATATAAGCTTACCTGAAAACGTCACATTTTTCAGAATAAACGGGCCCTGCAAAGAATTCAGATAAAAATCATTATCATAACCATATGAGAGGCTTCCTTAGAATAAGAGGTTTCAATATTCGATTGCTTAAAAGCTGACCTCGTTAACCTTCGTATGATGAGCAGGGAAAAGAGGGAAGTCACCCTATTCAGATGATGTAAATATTCATCATTCTACAAGGGAGAGGTTGGCCTGACAAACATTTACAAAAGTGACCCCTTCCTATATCTATGCCCGCCCCTATATTGAGGGCAAGCGATATTCAAATTCTAAACAAATAACAAAACACTTCTTGTGTGATAAAATTTGAAAAATCCTGATTAAGGCAAATCGAAACTTTTTTAAACGATTTGAGCGTTGCAAAAATCATATGTCACGAAAACATGCAGCTTCATTTCAGTGCACGGTTCTCTTTGCTATCCACATGAAGTCAAATTCTAGTCCAGTTTGCCAATGATAATAACGACGAGAGATCAGTTGTATTAAATGAGATACCTTCAAAGACCTCAGGTGCCATCCACGGTGCACTACCTTTATTACTTGTCATATGAGATGTGTCGTGTGGGCGAGCTGTACCAAAATCACATATTTTGATAACTGTACCACGTTCTTTGAGAAGCATGCTAAAATTAACAAATAATTTACTATTAAAGAAAGTAAATACTTGTCGTTTTGTCTGATAACGTCTTACAACCTTGAAATTACCAATGAAGACGAGGAAAGAAAAAGAGTAACGAATTGGACTATTTTAAGAATAGAAATGGCCAAGCAAAACCAAGTGAAGTCATTTGAATAGAAAACCAAGTGGTAGTCATTTTTGTTAGAATTGTCTTTTCACATCCTCAAACTTTGGTTCTTTTTTCGCTTTCTTTCATAAAGGAAATTTTCTAGCAAAGAACCCTTTGGGTTTATGAAACCAAACTGATGGTAATAACAAACTAAATAAGGAACGAGCAACAGGTCCTATGAGAAACCTTGCAACAGCATGCAAAAACTTGTTTTGGTACTTCTTTCCTGCATCTGTCTTAGGTTATAACATTCCCATACAAGCAGCCTTTTACTGAAAAACAGACGAAAAATAAGCATCATATTCAAGGACTACCGTTAAATAATAAAGTAGTCTTACTTTGGTGGTTTTAAATCTCGATGCACAATTGGTGTTGGCTTTAAACCATGCAAATACTCCATAGCCCTGGCACACTGCAGCGCCCAACTAATCACATGACCAATAGTATAATCACATGGCCTTACATCTTGACTGCTTGGATGCAGCACTAGAAGATAAACAATTAAATTGTTTACATGGGTTTTCTTTGGGGTTACACAGTTGGGTTGGCAAAGCCATAACATTGATAAAACAGAATCCTGAAATAAGATAGAAGAACACCATAGTGGACTGGCGTCTGGAAAAAGCATCAAATGATTTTCAAAAAAGGCCAGGCAAAAACCAAAACATGATGCCTCTAATTTGCGTGGGGATGTTACATTTGCTACAACATTCAGTTAAACTAATTTCTGAGAAAGGGGCAATTAGACAGCACAACTTTGAAGAAAAACAAAGATTAAAAAAAATTAGCAACTTCTTAAATAAACAAGTATTTCAAATATGGTAAAAGATGACAACGAGGCATATACCAGATTTGGGAAAAATAGATTGGTTAAATCATGAAGAAAAAAAAATATCAATCGCTAATTCACAATTAAAGACACTGATTCTAAGGTTCCTTGTAGAAAGCCATGCGAGACAAACTGCAAGAAAAAACTGCCAACCAATGTTTTAAGCAGTAATTTTTTCTTTTAGACCCATTGATTTTTTTAAGTTCACATTGCTGTAGATGCAGTAAGCTGCAGCTCTTTATTACAGAAACTGAGATAAATTTGCTATTCCCAGCTATGAAACTCTGTATGCCCTAACTCTAAATGGTGCCCTTTGGAGGGAGGTTTAACTATAGATGTAGGCTAGATAGCATGTTAGGGCATTTGTGTTTGTAGCTATGTTCATAATTGCAGAAAGTCATTAATCCAAAAAGAAAGTAACATCATTAGCTTAGGCACTATAGCTTAAAATGTTTGCACTTTCTTAAATTCTGGGAAAACCTGAAATTTTAGCCCTTGTCCCCACCCCAAAATAGAATATAGCATCACCTTCCTTAGGATAAGTTTATAATACATAAGCCTATCAAAGCTTATAACCATTTGTTAATGGTGTCTAACTCTTCCTGATCTAATCAGAAAATGTAAAGTACAAAACAATCAAGCAAATAAATTGCCACCATTATACAACTTATAATGTACTCCTAATTGTGATGTACTCCTAATTACAAAACAACACCTCTAAATTGTGAATGATAAATTAACAGAATACCAGCACTTCATACTCACAGTCATATAAAGATCCATCTTCAGCATATTCCATGAGAAGACAAACCTGAAATAAATTGTTTTAAGATAGTTAAGACTCTGCATTCATAGTGTATATGCACGTGGGATGTACGTTTTGGTGTGTGAAACAATATTGTTCTCAATTACAACTCCAAGTTTCGAACTTAATGCAATCATCATTCCTCATCTCTCATTCTGTCAAACCCCCATTGTCTGTACTTCGGACAATTTCTGAAAACTTCCACTGAAAATTTTAGCTACGTCTACTTGTAACATCTATTCATTTAGATACAAAATAATTATTTTTTATAAACTGCATGTTTGGCAACATCAATATTTGCAGCTATTTTCTTTTCTACCACCGCTTTGGTAATTATTTTTCTACTCGTATATTTATAGTTCTCTTTGTAAGCAAACAGTTATTTTGTAGCTCTTTTGAGAAAGACAAAAACAGCTGCTTCATCACTTTCTAATTTCTCTCTTTATAAGCACTTCTCTTCTAACCCCATACAATACTTGACATTCAATAATGTTTATTGCATTAGGGAGTTTCCTGTTAGGTTTCCATTGTTTGTATGGTTTTTAAACAGCTTAGGTTGATGACTGAGCCCCTTTTAGTTATTATTGATGAAGCGAAATTGAAAATCTTACAAAAGTATTTCTTTGATTATTTCAATTGATAGAAATATTGTTTGGATAACAATTGTAAGAATCAATCTTTGCACAATTCATTGTTGTAAGTCAAGTCAACTGTGTATCATTTAAGAAATACTCAAATGTCTATAATGTTATCAATTATATGATGACCTGCATTCATTAAGGCTGGTCATCACTGTTCAGGAAGTTGCTTTATTAAATTTTGTTGTTGTGGTGGCATTTAGATATCAATTCAGTTCTTTTACCGAGTGGTTAAGCATTCTTGATTCGAAATTTATTTAGTTGTTCAGGTAGGTAATGGCCGTGACATTTTGTCTAGTTTGAAACTTCTATATTTATTTGAAACATTTCATAAACGAGCATTTGAATAAATAAATAAATGAATAAATAAAAAAATTAATAAATAGATAAATAAATTAACAAGTAAATAAAAAAATAAATGAACAAGTAAATAAATAAACAAATAAATAAGCAAATAAATAAATGAATAGATAAACAAATAAATAAATAAATAAATAAATATATTCATCTAATTCTACAAGACTCTAATCCAACTATATATAAAATATATGCCTTGTAAAGAGAATTTTTAGTATATAATATTGTTTTATATATATCTGACTCTCTATTTCTGAAAATATAACAACTGCCTTTGCCCAAAGTATGGTGACCTTTGAAAATTACTCAATAAGATACTTTTCGAGGAAGAGTGTTGTGTAAGAAAAATTGCTGATTTAGGAGCATATAATATTGAAAGCAAGGCTCATTCCTGGACCCAAAGACACGCACAAAAGCATTTAAAATGAATGTGTTCAAGGAACAGTAATAATAATTCTTTCATGCAACAACTTTTATAAATTCAGGTATGGACATACTTTTGGTTTCTTGGCACAAACACCATAAAGTCTAACGATGTTTTCATGCTGCAGTCTTGAAAGTTGAACAAACTAAGAAAGAACAATAGGAATATGATTAAGCCACATCGCCTCCAAGGGATCTTGGATCATCCCCTCTCACCTCCAAACAATGTTGTTTAATGCAATGTTAGGATACACAGTGTAGTGCAATGGATTCTCTTCAGAGATTTATGATTCTAACTCTACAACCAATATTGTTATGGGGAGAGGTGATGCTGTGTCTGTATTTTCTACTGAAAACTGTTAATTTTTTTCAAGAAAAACATTTATGCATTAGACAGGGACTGTAGCTTTACATGGCTGAAAGTGATTTTTAAAATATTTTTTTACTAGTAATTTGTTTAATAATCACTTGTACATTCTGTAAACCTCATAGAGAAATTTTAATTTAGGCCCAGGACACTTCGCTCTGGCAACTATCTCAGCATCAGTAATCTCTAAATTGTAAATCATGATCATCTTGCATATAGAAGACAGGAGTGCTGAAACCAGACCAAGTTAACACTTTATTCAAAAATGATGGCAATACCATTCATAGGCACTTAGATGGTTTCACATTTCTTTCACATCTAAATTAGGAAGCTGGTGTCTGAATCATCTGAGTATAGGAAAGTTGTCAGTTTACAAAGTGGTTGTTTATAGGGTTTTGAACAAACCCCAGAAAAAGAAACTTTTGAAGCATGGAATCATACCTCTTTATTTAAAGCTTTAGCAGCATCTTTTCCTTCCATTGTTTTAACAGCAACTTGCATATCTTTCCAAATAGCTTTATTGACAACACCAAATGCACCTCTACCAACAACCTGTGTATACAAATGTTACCCAGTTAAAAAAAGTTTTAATCAAGAGAAGTGGCTCTTCTAGCATATAACATGATGTGAATGTTAGCTAGATAATAGTTAGACATGATTAACGCTAACATGAAGCATATAAGAGATTGCATTATGGACAGAATTGATTATTATCAGCACATACTGAGCTGCAGCACCCATTCCTAGAAAACCAACTCTTGAAAAGAACAACTTTTATACATAGAATAGGACAGTTCTCAGGTGCAACTTGATATTTCACACTAAATGTGATCATCAAGAGCATTTGCCTGATGATTGTTTATCAAACAATTTTGTGAGAGCTCCTTTGATTTAAAGTGCCAAGGGGAGTTCAAAACCTAATCTGTTTTCAAATGAATAGATAGGTGATCACAATGCTCCATCAAAACAATGCAAAAAACCACCGACAGTATGCAGGCTTGGCTGTTTGAGGGAAGCTATAGACATTCTTGCCTCTATGCTCCCCTAAGAAACCAACATTTTACCCAACTGGACCTTATTATAAAAAATGCTATGCTATAGCCATCCAAATCACATGATACTCCATATAATAGGCTCAAATGCAATCACAACCTTCCTGCTTGGTACAAATTAATTAAAACACTGGAACAATCTATCCCGAAAAATTTCAATTTACTTTTTGGCCACCTCAAAATGTCTTCATTGTCAAAATAAGGGAAGAGAGAAATAATTTGATGACTTGCAAGAAAAGGAAAGAGTCACTTGATCCTACACAGTACAAGGGTTATTTGCTTTTGGGCTTGTCGTCTGAGTACATCAATTTTCTGTCTGTTTCTTTCTCTGCAATTTCAAGACTTCAAAGCTTGTTGACAGTCCAATGTTAGAATTGAAGAAGTCAATGCTCCCATGTTATTAAATTCTATTTGACACAATGACTTCAGCCCTGACATTTTCATGAAATGGAGCACAAAAACAAAATGGTCACTAATGCACAGCTGGTCTGTACGCTCGTGCTTTCCTCTGCACTCCCCTCACAACCTGAGACAAGCTGTGAATTCTATTCCTAAACAGAGCATACAGGAAAAATTCTTCCCTTGAAAATTCCATTCATTTGCCCTTTTGGTATTCACAGAGCCCTGAAAAACTGACTAGCGTTTATTGGTTTACTTTTCTTTAGGTGATTTCTCCCATCATTGCATTTTTCGCAATTAATTTTATGCCTGTCAGGGGGGGGGGGGTTTGTTATGATAGTCACGAGCTTCAATTTATCAGCAAAGGGTAGTGAAGCAAAAGGTATGTTTGCAGAGCTTAGAACTTTTTAACCTTACTAAAACAGGCATATTATTGGTAGGAAAGTTAAAGAAATTGGTAAGAGTTGTCGATTGAAAGATAAAATAAAACACCATGTCCCTAAACTCTCACCCAAAGAGAACACCCACCTCGGTCTTCAAGATCAAAAACGACAACTGAAACATGAAATTTGACTGTCAAGGGGCATTTACTAAACCCAGATGGGCAAAAAAACTATAATGGTGACACGTTCTGGATGATTTGTAAAGCCAGATCTTTGTTCCATTAAGCAGTTTTGTAATCTTTCTGCATAAACGTGGAAAAGCCATTATTATGTAGAGAGAAGGAGTTGGTTTTCAACTTAGGACTCCATTGGTAACATTTTAAATAGGCACGCGGCACTGATTGGGCAACCTCAACAGCCATGTGCTCGCATTTCTGATGGGCCTTTTTCCATCCACAATTGAGTACAAATATTTCCTTGCCGAGAGTTTTCAATATATGTTCCGACATTTTATACTATGAAGAGTGTCAGATCTAAGCCATTTTTAAATTCTGTACAACAAAAGATTGTTGGTTAAGAAAATTGCTGTTTTTGTGTTGTGCAAGCTTTACATGGAACTGAAAGAGTCTGTTCTTTTAAATCCTTTGTGCAAAGTGGAAGCCTGAGCCACGGTTAAAGCATATATAAATTGAAAGAAGCAAAACAGCATACTCCTTGACTTCAAAGGGGCCTAAGTCATCTGCTGATTGCCTTCAAAGAATATTCTTTGTGTAGCTGATTTAGCTCGCCTCAAGAAATGAGGGGAGTGATCCACAGCTCACCTACAAATTTCAAACAGCCAGGCCTGCACAGTCCTCTTAATGTTTTGCTATGTTAATGCAACACAATTGTAAAGCTGATTAGAACAGAACTTTATTGAAAAAGCCAATTTTTAGTAAATTATTTTTGGCATTTTTTGATAAAGTATGCCTATAAATTCAGGGGAGTGGTTTAGAGATCGTCCTGATAAAGTACAAACAACCATCTGCAAAGTGGCTGTAGGAGGGTGCTGGTGATGGAAACTTTGATTGCCAGTGTAAAATTAACAGATGGTCTAATGGCTTCTAATAACAACAGCAGAAGATAACATAACTTAATAATAACATATAAAGATAACTTTATAATAACAACAGAAGAAAGAAGGAATATCTATCTAATGGTTGAAATGATAAATTCAGCATAAGAAAATAGCAATGAACCTCTCCAAACTGAATGTCTTCGAAAAGAAGGTCTTTTCCAAAACCCTGGGGTGAAACAGCTCCAGAAGAGACCATATTGAATCTTGAGTCACCAGTAGAGCCAGTTGGGCTTCCTGTGAAGAATCAACATTTAATATCCAAGGAAACAGACTGCTTATATATTACATATGTTACATATCACATATTTTGGACATTCAATTTTACTTGGTTTTATAAACTTCAAAAGGAAGTCTACCTTAAACTGTAAATTATTACTATCTGTCAACTTAAAGTGCCTATGACATGATTTTTTTTATTCTCTTAATTGAAGCGTTGCACTGCTCTTATCGTAGATCTGAACTTTTTTGAAATAAAAGCGTTTTGATATTGAAATTAAGCAAAATAGTGCGGCCTAGCCAAGTCGCTTTATCATCATTCGCCGTTCTCTTGTGACGTCATGGGAGGAACTCGTTATTGTAACAATGTAAGCGCTACCTTCAAAAATCTCATCCTCGCTGCCACTACTTTCTCTGGAAATATCGCTCATCTTGGACCTGTTAGATTTCCCTCACTGACTACGATACAAAAACTCGAAGGAGGAGGTGATCGGGTCCCTCCCGTGATGTCACTGTCTACTCATTCTGAAAACCAAGATGGCGAATTTTGGCGTAGAAGATCGCCAATAACTCCTTCATTTCTCACGAAACGTAAAAACCAACTTAAAAATGAAAATAACAGGCCTTTTTACATAAGAATAGATATATAAACCCAAAAGTCCGAAAATCATGTCACAGGCACTTTAAGTTTGTAGCCATGGGATCATCATGTCTTGATCCTCTTCTTGCTAGTTCTATCAAAAAGGGAACTTGCGTCCTGCTATGCTGTTTGGGTAAGAGTTTCTAACCTTTTAAATAGGTGGTGCCTATCAACTCTGTATACTGGCTGTTTTTCGATGCCACAATAGGTCATTACATTTTTAATGTTATTGGTACAAATTACCATAAAGAGTGAAGCAATCAAAAACATTTTTCAATTTAAATAAAACTTAAAATCACTGTAGTTTACAGACTATAGTTAACACAATAGTCATATATATTTATATAATGTAATTCTTTACCTCTATACTTGTACATATATCTTCTAGCCTAACTATATTTAATATAATAAAAGGACTATACTTACAGTTGATGATAATTAAACATTGGTTTTGTTTTATTAATCACATGTTTATTTATTTTACTGCCAGTGAAAAACCAATATTATACTTAGGATCTGTGCAATGAATATTGGATGTTTTGTATTTAAGTTCCAAATACAAAAATCTTAAATTCAAATTACATAGTTTTTGAGGAAGCAAGCATCCATCTCAAAAAAGAAACATTGTATCAAGTTGTGCTTGACTGACTAAAGCTTTAGCATTTCCACTACAAAATCAAGTTTCTGAATAGTTGGTGGTTGCACCTGCAACATAGCCAGGGGTTTCTTTGAATGAATTACATATCTGCCATGATCAAAATATCAAAGTTTCCTAAAAATTTCTGTGTATCAAAATATATCCTTTACAACGTTAAACTTCTATAAGATAAATACAATTATACAATACCTGGCTAACCATTTTTCTTAAATAGCAATTATTTCTTAATAACAGGGCAATTGAAAGCAGGAATGAATGCATATAATTTATATTCCTAAAAATCAAGGAAATTTCAGACTGAAAATTGAAAATCATATGATTTTGATTTGGTTCTCTCTTAATCAGTTTATAAGTATTATTACTTGTATATGCATATGATGAGCAAATTCCATATCTAAAATAACATTTTTTACAAACTTATAATATCTTTCAAGCAATTGACCCTCTACCACAACTTATTATCTAGATAAAGACAAATAATGCAACAATATCCCATTTCTATCATTTAAGTTCCGAGTTTTCTAAGCTTCTTCTTGTTATAATCTTTTTTGAGGAAAATTCACCCCTGCAGGTCATGAGAAAATACGACTGTTGGTCTGTATTTTTATTTCTTTTCCACCGAGCGTTCCGCTTTCAAGAAACGAATTTGGTTAAATCTTATTTACTTCTTTCGAAAAAGCATAACAATTTGCAGATAAAAAGATAAAGTAAAAGTGAAACAATTCTTCTTACTTTCTTGGCTCATCTTCCTTTTAAAGTACGGAATAGGACTGTCAAACGTCTTTGATATTGGGAAACTTGACTTGGCCTATGCCGAACTGTAAAACGTCACTCGATCGCCCTTCGTCTTGTTCTATGCATCCTTCAAGTCACCATTTCTAAGATCCTGATACTTCAGTTGATAAAACCACGGATAATTGCTTTCGGCACAATCCAAGTGAAATACGACAATATTCTGTGTATGATACCGTCAGCCGTTTCCCACACTCAGTCCACCTTCAGCCATCTCGCTCCTTTAGAACATGCTCCTTCGCAACCACTCGAAACTAAAATGAGCATGAGGGGGTTCCCAAACAAACCCGCTGAATTTCCCCCAATGAGGTTTCCCCTAATATATTCACTCTCCTTCCCGGAATATCCGTGTCTATTAAAAAATGTACACCGATTTTCGTGCACGTTTTTTATTTTACATCATCGAACGCAGATATTCAACATAGCTTGAACAATTTACGTCAAACGTTCTCTCCAATCGAAACTTCATAAGTTTTCTGCGGGATTTGAGAATAAAGTAAACCCCAGCGCATAAAAAGCCACAATTTGTTTTTCAATCTAAAGGCGGATTTTCATGAGGCGAATTTCGCATCGAATTCGCTGCAAATTCGCTTCGAAATTGTCTTTTGATTTCCAAGAGATTGCAAATTCGCTACAAAATTATATAGTGATTTCCCCATTCCCAGAACTGCAAGAATGGCGAATGTACCCAGTGCTGAGGAGAGGGGGTCAGGGGCCCTTGGTTATAGGGGCCCATAAATAATGCCTCTTTTTAAAAAAATTATAAGTAATAATTCTGACTCTTTATTATCACAAACTGTCAATAATAGAAACAATACTGACACAAATCTATGAACGACGTAAGGTAGAAGTAAGGTAAGCTGTTTGAGTCTTTGACTGTTTGAGTGTTAAAGATATTCTCGTTAGGAAGTTTCCATCTTTGTGGATTTGGGCTGAAGAAGTTGAAAAGCTTCTGAATGCGTACCAAACAATTTGATTACAACAATACGTACAATCATTGCCAAAAGTACTTGGAACACCAAGCAATTTGCGTTGTGTTTTTATATTTTTCAATTCTTTCCCCAAATACTCCTATTTTTGTTCTCCCTTCCACCCTAAACAATGTTGATATTTTAGGAAAATATCACAGAAGTAGCTGAAAAGAACGTACTTCCTAATCACCTACGTCGTCTTGTAGTAAAACGACATTCAAAGGGGGGAAGGGAATGGCTGTATTTGCCCTTGAAAACTGACGTTGGTGTACCAAGACTTTAGGCAGGCATTGTACGTCATACAGATTTACACTATGGCACGCGCATCTGTTTGCAACATTTTGTCGGTATTGATCGAGTTTAGTTAACAAAAAGAACGTTTCCCAAGACCTTCAAAATTTTTAAGAAATTTTCTTTTCTATGCATGGTGTTAAGATATCAGTTATGCTCAAATTGTATAAAATAGCAAACAGAAGTAATAGCCACCTGAGCAGTTTAGCCACCATCCTCTTCAAAAGTCTCAGGGGCGAGCATTCCCCGTACTCCCTAGAAGCGTCTGTCTTAGGCGTGCTTTACTTTTTATTTTTCGTCCCAACCCGGGGCCCATTAATCCTCTCCGCGGCCCTGAATGTACCAAGACTGTTTTCTTGCGAATCAAGCAAGTTTACTATGCTTTGACTGGTTATTAGGTACTGCGAAATATTTCGCCGCAAAAAAGTAGAACTCTTTGCTACTTGCTTGCTAATTAGTTGCGAAATCAAAAATCAAAACTATGCATGCCTTGATACCTTCATCGGCGATTTCGCCGTAAATTCTTATACTGGCTTTTAACGGAAACTAAGGGTTCGAGCCTTCATGTTCTGAAAGTGGCTTTTATTTCATTAAGGGTCTTGGCCATCGTGTTCACCAAAAGCTTTTTTAAAAAGAACAAACTCACTTTGCACTATTGAATCAAACTCCTTCACCTTCAGATAGTCCCAGTGCTAAATTAGGTGTTACACTAAGCCTGAAAAGTATATCTAATGAAGAGTATATATTTGTTAATTTTTTCAATAGCTTTAAAATTTATTTAGAGTTCATATTTCTTCACTTATAACCAAAACCGTGAAGAACGTTTTTTCATTAGTCCGTGCATTCTCTAGCCTGACTCTTCATATGTATCCGTTGTAAATGCATCCTTATTGTGCAAGTTCGAAACTCTATTAACGAATACAAATAAATATGGTCGACTGGAAATATTACAAATTTTGCTGTTGATGCTGTTACTTGTACGCCAATGTATTCTGTTCATAACTTTACAGCGGATTACTTCTGGGGCCTGTGGGGCCTAGGCCCAGTGGCGTGGCTCGACCTTCCAGACTAGGGGGTGGAGAGTCAAGGGTAGTAAAACTTACCGACGAAGACATAGATAAAGAGAAATTTAGGTGCTATCTCCCCTTTACCAACAAACCAGGGATTGGGGGTGTCACACCCTCTGCACCCCCCGCTAGCTACGCCTCTGCCTAGGCCCCTAACCCAGTCTCTCACTGGCCTCGAATTCTGAGGCTAGAAAATTTTGTCTGGTATTTTCAGTCAAAGGCCGTGTACTTGATGAGGACACATTGCAATCACGTCCTGTGAGGTGCATAGAGCGCCTCCAACCTAAGATTATTTAAAATCGGCAGTTTTTTTAAATAAATCCCGTGAAATATTCAAATTTGGTCCATCTGCAAAAATTGATAACCTAGAAATTTCTAAAAAATTTTGACAAAATATGTTCTTGCAAAAATTAATACTCTTAAGAACTTGGGTAGGTGATAAATGAAGAAAAAATTTATCCTTTACATCCATAAAAAATATTTATCTTCTTATATTTAATAAAGTATTTTGTGGAAAGTCATTTTTCAATATGAATCAAATATCTGTAAAAATGTTTGAACATCAGCTATAAAGAAGATTGAGATAACAAAAACTTTTAAATGCATTAGTTCAAACGCTCAATCAAATCAAAGATGTTTCAGTTTCTAATGATGACAAACTGCAGCGGCGAGAGGTCATCCAGTGTTCTGAAACGCATGATAATTTCTTGTTATCAAGATAGGTCAGACGCGATTGGGTAGCCTGTATCTTCTGGGCTTTGAGCATGGTGTAATGGACGTGCTTCAAATGTATGATATTATTTCTGACTTTGCAGCTTTAAAAATCCGAAAAACGTTGGTATAATAAAGGACTTTGTTGCACAAACCTATATTGTTTGACATTTCTGTAATAACCTTTAATATTAATTTGTAATTGTGGTACATCTTAACTTGTTGCTTCGAGTTTTTGCAATATTTGTTAATGACGTTAATGCTTTATGATAGCATATTATTATTCTTTTGGCCAATGTCGTCCCTAAAATATCTTATGCCCCCGGCCCTAGTATTTGTTAATCCTCCACTGCACAGTTGTAAAAGCTCTTATTTGCCATGGATAGCCTGGTGTAGCAAGCTTAATTTAGTTTGATTTTTATGTACGAAGAATGAATACATATAGTTGTATTTAAGTAGCAATAAAAATGAAAAATGATGATGATGATGAGGTAAAATACCGCAATGATACTGGTGCAAACTGCAAACAACCACTGTGTGGAAGCATCTTGGCCCCGGCGCGCTTTCACAGTTGTTTGAGGAATTTTTATTTGTAGCGCTCAATGACCAAAGTCCCAAGAAGTAATATCAATTATAGGGGGACTGGGGGACGTGGTAAAAGGGCGTGGCCTAAAAAACTTTGGTTATGCCCCTAAATAGCCTACTAGCAGGCGTTGCCACTGCTTATAACCTGTCTTTATTAAAAATTGAAATCTACAAACTTGATATTGATATTATATCTTCAAAACCCTCTCTCTCTCTTCCTCTTCCCTATTCCCTTGTAGGGCTTTGTTTTGTTTTGCAATTTGTTTTTTTATTTTTGATCAATGTTAGGCTCTTGTTTACATAAATTTGTTCTTTTCAAAAAAGAATATAGATGTTATCGTCGATGAATGATTCAACTAGTAACGGACAAGAGAAATTAGTGCAATACAAGATACACCACACCTCGGTCAAAAGACAGGCAATGTATACAGAGGATCGGCCCTGTCGGACATTTCATATGGTAACAAAAATTTCAAGCTTTAGCTCAAGATATAGAGGTAATACATGTAAACATCCCACAATATGTTTTAGAAAGTTGAAAAAGTTCTACAGTGCTCTAAAGCTTGGAATTAAATCCCTGTGAATGTTAGGGTGGTGTCCCCTCCTTTATGTGAAGCTTGAGTCAACATCAATGACATACATCTGTGAATTTGCATCGGATTTCGAGATGAAAGACAGAATTGCGTCAATTAGCTTTCCTATAAAATAAATTTCTAAACAGTACCTTAGAGCTCTGCTATTATTCTTAATAAAAGCAACTTCTAAATATTCTTTAAATATCAAAAAATTGATCAGACTGAATGATACAATTGAGCAATCCAGGTAGGCATCATATTTTGATGGAACATGACATTCATTAAAACACGATACCTATCCGGATTTTTCATGTCCGTCTTTTCTCTCCATATTCCCTCATATACTTGACTAACCGCTAACTAAGAAGAATATTTGAAAGGGCCAATCGACCTTCATAAAAAACAATCTGATGCCTGAAACCGGACTCTAGAAAAGCAACAAGGGCGACAGGCTTTCTTTTAGCAGTTCAGTGTAATGTCTGCCCAGTCAACTACAACATTAAAATTTTAAAATTTACTGAGGTGATTTCGACATAGGTTGTAAAAGGTATCCGAATTGGCCTGCATCACAATACTGTCTGGCAGGCTATTCCATACAGAAACGATTGAATAAAAAAAATGAAAACCTAACAGCATCAACCCTTCCAAATTTAGGCATGATCTTCAATGAGTTAGAGTTCCTTGTCATTGAACAAGTTGCAGGGGAAAAGAAAACTTTAGGGTCCAAAGCAACCTGATTTGTAAACATTTTATAAACATATTTCAGTTGAAATAGTAATCTACGCGATTCAAGTGAGTCCCATTTAAGTTGTTGCAATAAATCTGTCACGTAGACCAGAGGTGAGAGTTGTTTTTTGCGTGTTTTTTGGGCTTTGACCCCCTATATCTAGAAAACGCCCCCCTAAACGCCAAAGCAACATCCGGATTCGTAATCTACGCAAAAAAGTTGAGTCAGAAAAAGTTAGTCTGGTTAATTGCCAGCTCAGGTGATAATGCTCCCCCTCTCACCTCTGGTCTAACGCTAGATCTTATTATATTAATATATTTGGATACTTTTAGGGGGCGTCTATTCGAGGGGGTGTTTAAAAGAGGGGCGTTTATTGATTTTTTTCACTCTTCCTAGGCAATATGTTTACAAAAACATCTAACGATGATGGCACTTAGCGTGAAACTCTGAATAACAAACGCTACTCGAAAATTTAGTGAAGGAACTTTCCAAAAGAAAGGCGAAATTTTCCACTGTAACCTTGAAATTTAGAAAGAAGGGCGTATATCGTAAATTTCTTTATTATTTCATAAAAATAAGGTAAAGAAGCATGGCAGTATATTGTTAATTACTGTTCAGAGTGTTTCGAATACGTTTAAACGGGCCGTCTATTAGAGGGGGCGTTTATTATAGGGGGCGTTTATTAGAAAAATTTAAAGTAGGGGCATATATTAGAGGGGGTGTTTAAAAGAAAGGGGCGTTCAATCGAAGCACTACGATACGCTAACAATAACATTCACTGATCCTGTTTCTAATGAAGCTGGATACTATATCTGTGAAGAATCTCTTTTTCTTGACATCCAAAAAAGGGATTGTTCGTCGTTGAGGAAAAGCGGGCAAACAAAAAGCGGCATCTATACTGTTAACCTAGATAACCGCATCGCTTTCTCTGTTTACTGTGATATGGAAAATGAAGGGGGCGGCTGGACGGTAATACAGAGACGGACTGATGGATCCGTCGATTTCTTTCGAAACTGGGAAGAATATAAGGAAGGTTTTGGGAACTTGGGAAATCT